TTCCCTTTCCCTACGTCTTAGAATAAACATAAAATTTAAAATTTTTAAACTTGACAATAAGAGCGTACGTTCATCAGCATATATATATATATACCGGTGTCATAAATAACATGACAGGATCCATATTTAATCCGATAAATCCAAAAACCTTAATAAAAATGCAATTAACTATTGCAAAACGCTTAATATTATGATTAAGCGTTTTTCAATAATTACTTATAGTTTTATGATTCTGTTGTAACTTTATGACACCAGGTAAGTTCACGGATGAGATATACTCATATTGACCATTCTTGAGAATTAAATTTTATGTTCATTCTAAGACGTAGTATCACTTTAACCCTTGTGCTAGCAACTCGTTTGAATAACATTGGATAGAACCTGGGGTATTTGGGAACCCCTATTATATAATGGAAATTTTGAACAAAAGAACATGAAATATATTTCCAGGTGTGGCAAATAATACTTCATAAAGACTCCTTGTTGACCAAATCAATTATTCAAGATGATAGTTATATCGATATGCGAAAGTCATCCTGTCTTCAAGCCAAACCTATAATCTAGAATATTACATAAGGGTCGGGTTGTGATCTAGGGATGAGCAGAGTGCATCTGTTTTGATTCAATTATTGACCAATTGGTCAAGATTTCAAAAGTAGCTGGCTTAACTTGATATGGTTATAACATTTATTGATAATTTGAAAATTATGTGTAAAAAACTCAAATTTAACCTACTGGGGTACTTCAGGACCCCCGAGATTCAATAGGTGTTATAGTCAATGTTTAACCAAAATGGCCCCAAAATTAGTTGAAATATCCCTTACAAAGTGGTCAAAATGGTACCAAATAATTTTTTATTTCATTGAACAACTTTAACAATAAATAATATATTAATGTTTTGACAGTATGTTGTTTGTATTTCGGTGCCGAAATAGGTGTAGAGGGATTGGATCAGGGACCAATAAGATAGAGGTGTTTTGGTCGTATCACGGCATATCCTGTCGGTAAAAAATATCAAGAGTTGTTGGCATATTATTAGTGCAGCAAGGTAATTTCACCAGTCTCAACTGACCTGTATTTATATTGAACAGGTCTCATCTTGGTAAAATATTATGTACTCTTCATATTGAATATATCCATAAATTTATTTAATAATTTGAATTAATTTGTGTGTATAACAGATTAACCTTAATCTTTGAAATGATGTACTGTGTCAAGGTTTATTATCGATCAAATGTTGTTAAGATTTTTTCATAGTTTCCGTATGGTACAATACAATTCTTACAGGTGTATTGAAACTCGGCCCCACTTTCAACCAATTATATATATTACTTGGCTGTCATGGAAAAATTTGACTTGGTTTAAACAGTATTTATTTCAAAACAAATATACACATCATCACCTCAATAAGCTATAAACTATTGTCTTTTTTCTTTCAGTAATCATCACATAAGTTACAAACTATTATTGTTAGTCTTTGATAATCACTCAGATAAGCTACTAATTATAATTAATTATCAAAGTTAGAATATTTTTAAACTAGGGACATTTTTAATTTTGGGGGTGGGGGGATCATTTCGACCAATGATTTTGGTTGAAATCAAAGAGTAATTTTAGGGGCCATTTTGACTATTGTATTTGGGGTCATTTCGACTAATGTTGACTTTTGGGGCCATTTTGACATGGGGACATTTCGGTTTAGTGCCAAATTGACTTTAACCTAAGATAACTAGCTTTAGGAGTACATTACAATTTAATTTTATTCACTGAAATCCAGTTTTAGCACTAAATTTATCTGGGGTCTAAATGTACCCCAACATACTAGCATGGTGTGTTTCATTTTAAAAGGGTAGCATATCCGCTAATTGTGATTGTTGCACAGTAGACTGATCATGAACAGATTAAAAATTCATTCAGCTACAATGTTTGAAATAACCAAATTGCTATCTTCGATGGCATTTTAGAAATTCGAAAAAAATTGGTGCTGGATTCCCTAAATACCCCAAGTTCTAGCACAAGGGTTAACACAAAAAGCGAATTAAAACAGTTGTGTGCACGATTACAATATTCTTAAATACGTACGAGCCTGCCAAAACTTTCTCCTTTTTTCTACCTCATTTTGTTGATTTGAGTGTTCTGGCGACGTTGATGCTGGATTATAAATGGTAGGCTGTCTTGGATTATTAGTGGGTGGATGGTACATGGCAGGTGGAGCACGCATGATTTCTCCATTGAAACTTCCTGTCGGCGGTTGATTTTGATTCGGAGTAGGTCTGTACGCATTTGAGTAATCTTTTATCACTACAAAGAGAGCTCAGCCTGTTATTTTACATACTGTCACCAGCAGTTTTAATATGTTATCCCCTTTTAAACTAACTGGCATAGGGTGTCTATAAAACTTAAGACTCTATAAAACTAAGACCCAACTATAAAACTAAGACCCAATATGGCATATGAAACCAGTTCAGCACATACGTATTTTACAGTAAAGTTTAAGAGGACAATATTTCGATGCTGTGTGATATCACACGAATCACAAAATTGTGGCAACCATATTTGAAAAAGTGATAATTCTTTTCCAGATATTGTTGAGATAAACGGAAATTTTTCCGATATGTCATCAAATTTGAGAATGTTTTCAAATTTTAAATTGCCACGAATTATTAATCGTGAACCAAATCTAATTATTAATCGATTTAATTATGTTGATTCGAATCTGACATTTCACTTTGTACTGGTTGTCATTCTCTCTCTGTTGCACCAATTTAAACATTACGAACAAATAGAATGTTTAAAAATAAGGTCAATGATCAACCCAGCCACAGAGTGGCATAAAGTATTAACTACGTTGTCCTACCTTTCTCTGTTAATTTCTTCCATAATGACTGTTGACTTTTTTCACCATTAGTGCGATTCATATTTCCTATCATATTTCAGATCAGCTAATCGATATATAGATGAAGCTATTAGTAAAATCTTCCAGTAACCCGTATGAACAACATTTCAAAAAATTATGTAAACAAAAATGCTGTTACACCGGAAATTATATAACGATGACTACTATGCCTTCAGTTGTCCCCTTTTAAAATCTTAATCGGGTGTATGAGTTCGTAGAAACAAAATACATTGTAGATTCAAAAAGTCATGCTTCATGAATTCCAAAGTACAAAGGCCGCTTTGATGTGAAGTTATCTCTGAGTGACGTCGCTGGTAATTTTGGGAGAATTTATCTATAGGCCAAAAATAATTTCTGGGAAGTTTATTATTGAAAAAATAGTTCACCTCATCTTATTATGTACCGGTAGTCTATGGTATTTAAATTACTTTCACATTGATATTTCACATGTCCTGTTAAGTGTTATGTTAATTGGGGGCAATTTACCTCCTTGTTGCCAGTGAATTCAAATTCGATATCATCAGTCAGGTTATCTAGCGTGAGGTATACATCTCAGGCTACATTTTAGGGACAGGTTTTACTTTAATGCCATTCCAATAATAACAGAATATATATTTATTTTGAAAAGATATACATGGAATAACAAGAATAAGATAACAAATTAAAATAAGTTTCTTGGTCTGAGAAACACTGTTGAAGAAAGTATAGCCCCTACTACATGTACCAGAAATATCTCTCAAACTAAAAATATCCGAAATGACCCTTGTTCTATATAAAAGCAATACTTCGGAGCGAAAAAAAAAAATACAACACACAAATTATAAAACAGCTGTGCTAGATTTAAAGACATAATCAGGCTTTTTGAAATTTCAGGAACAACAGTCCTCAGACAGAATGTACCAATCTTGCAAAGTCTTATTGTATTGGAAACATACAAAGGCCAAAAACTCCTATTGAAATTAAGACTAGTCTTGAACACGTTCTGTCTGTTCCAATTCAAGCCGTTAAGGAAATAGATTTGTCACATTGAAAATTTAGTGTTATTCCTTTATCTGCTAGTTTGAATTCTAAATAAACTTTACATTCTGAACCCTGTTTCAAACTTGTTTTATTGAACTTACACTTGAACAGCCCAGAACATCTTCCCAATGGTCAAGGTATTGTCCAGATTTTTGAAAATATTGTACTAGTAAGATCCGAAGGTATTTAAATGTTGAAGCAATTATAAAAGATCCTCCGTCGGCGAAGCTAATACAGACTAAAACTTGAAGACCATCTTATAAAAAACTTGACTCAAATATAATATTCATAAAACTCCATTCATTTCATTTCATTTTCAAATATAATATTGAACATATATATACTCTATACCAGATAATGATATCACAATATCTCTCCAATATTACCAATAGAAAAAAAAAAACAGATAGTCCTAATTTTGTCCCTGGAATTTCATTGCATCATAAGATAAATAATAAAACATACAGTGTTAAATACAGACTGAAATATTAATTTTTTCAAGAAGCTGAAACTCTCCCTTTAAATTTATAAAAAGATGACCCAAATACGTCAAGAACATTAATTTTATAAATCTTCATTAAAAGTGATTCAAAAGAGGTTCCCAGCCAATTGATAAATATTGGAGACATGTTTTGCTTGAATTGTATTGTGATAACATAATCTGGACAATTTCTATCTAATTTTAACAACCACAGATGTAGGTCAAAATCTGTATGGTGCACTGTCTACAAAGGCAAGAAATCATGTTTAAAACTCTTTAACAAAACTTTGAATCAAAAATTATTTATTCCTTGGTACAGTCCAGCCATTTCAGATTCTAACGCAAATTCAAAGTAGTAAAATTATATGCAGAAATCCTTTATATATAACATAGCCACAAATGAATGATCCTGACTAAAATAAATATTGAAAATATAATAAATATGTTGTAAATCTGAGAGATATATTAAAATATTCAGATAACTTACTATTTAATATCACAATGTTATATATCTTATTATGTAATCTCTCCTATTTAAATTCAGATCTGTAACACCACTTAAAGACATGATAATATTTGCTTGAATAGCCAATAGAGATATCTGTATTACTTTTCAGCATAATTAAAATCTTGACATCTAGTTACATAACAGTAAATGACTGTAATTAATTCAATAGCATAGATGCTTTAATTGCTGTCACTTGCAGACAACCAGATGTCAAATTAGCATTTCGAAAAGTGATACTGATAAATTTAATGAAGCCAATATACAAAGGACTATATCCATATCAGATGTTTTGATCCTTTAGATTCAGAAGTTATCCACATTCGATAAGCATTACAATTCCTTTAATTCAAGCCAAGAACATACAATAACTAAATCTCTTAATTTAGCAAGGTTGATAAAACCTATAAAATCTTATGTAAAACACTTTATGTTAAAATCAAAGAGCTACAAATACCATTAAATGACAACAAAGAGAAGAACACACACATTCACTTTACAATGGTGTAAACAAATCAACCTTTTCAATTTACTTGTTCATGTTTTTTTTCTAAAACATAATTTTAATTAAAATAATGAATAAAACTAAGGGTATAGTTCTTTACAACTAGTAAAAACACAATGAAATTCTATTTTTGAAAACATCAGGTCAATACAAATGGTGAGATTAGTCATTTTTGATGAATATACAAAATTAAGATTCTTCTCAATTTTGCGTATCTAGACGTTTCATTTCATATCACTTTACTGCAGATTCCTACACACGTATCTATGATCTGAGAAAATTCTTTTGCTTTTCAAATTTGGCACCATAGTATTAAATGAAATTTATGCTAACCAATCTTGACAATAAAAGTCAAGGTAAAAAAGTGAATATCACAGGATGATCCAAATGTATTATAATATATCTATTATTGACTTGCAGTGCCGCATAACAATTTGGTCAAATCATGGATGACCAGTGGAGACATGTGGAAAAAAAAAACATGCAATGAAACATCTGAATCTGCATTTTAAACAGATTGGATTATTCTTTACAAGTGTATCAGTTTTAAAATACATCCAATGTTCCTAATCTCTAACATCCTGACCCTGTGAGCTTGTAACAACATAAAGTTAAAACATCAACAAAATATTTTAGCTTGGTATTCCTTCAGCTATATCTTCTTCTTCACAACATTTACATATTTTACATTTACAACACAATATACACGGGGCGGCTAATAGTAAAAACGGGGATGCTACTAGTAATAACACACCAAATCCTGCAAATATTCCAACAACCTACAAAATATAACAAGATTTTCCTTGCAATTAACTCATATTCAGAGACAGCAACAATTAATAAAGAGAATTTAAAGGATAGAGAAATAAATATATTATAAAGTCTCTAATATTTTCAAAATACAAAATCACATCCCAACAGAACCACACCTACTAATCTTTCTGCTGAAATTTTCATATAGACTTCCATTTTTTATTGCATACACCCTCTTTTTCTGCACATCTTTTCATTAATGAGGATGGGGTCCACATTGAGAGATCTGAGAGAGAATAGAAATGATAAGACAGCTGAATATGGTCACTTTCTAACAATAAATACTTTTTTTAAAAATTTGAATGTTGATAAATGTAATTAAGCCTCTCAATATTTCATTAATACTGACCTGTGTTCTATGCCATATCACTGATGCTCTGGAATGTCCAAGTTTATTTTTACAAGGGCCTTTATCATAATGTCTCAATAAAAAATCATCCTGAAAAATACACATTATTATGTAAATGACCTACATAGCATAGTTATTTCAATTGATTTATGTGGAATATACATATCAACACCACTTTTTTGGCATTAGTTTATCTGGAATTATAAGAGCCATAGATTGGACAGGGAATTGGAATGATGCAGAAAGAAGATATAAGTATCTTTATTACACTGCTTTATATAAAAAAACAAAGTCTTTTAATTTCACATTCTTGCATTTCAACTTGTTCTGATTAACGTTTGATCGTCAGGAAAAATCTGTACATACATCTAACGAGGTCAGACAATACCAACAAAACACATGTTTACATCGTTTACACATCATCTGAGCACATCCATCATTTCTCTCTATAGGTACATGACATACTGGACATCTTTTAATCTTGGCATCTTCTGAACTGCTGAATGGAATTCTGTAAAACACAAAATCAGAGCTTGGATTTATCATATATTGTACTAATTTATCAGACAGCGGATATTCTTATTGAATAAATTTTCAGTATTCATCCTTCATCAAGGATTCTTCTGTTGGCTTTGTGGATAGTAAAACATCTTCCCTCAACAAACTAATACTATGTTTCTATTGTGTTTAATGTAGCAGGTAAACTTGTTATTAGACACTGGGGAAATTAATATAAGGCCAACATGCTTTCACATAATCATTTTAAGTTTCATAAACAAAACATTCTCCAAATAGTGCTAAATACATCAAATGTTGTTAAACACATTTAGTGTATTTATAACTATAAGCACATGCAGAAAACTTATGAATAATATGGGTAATAGTATGGGTAACATCTCTGGTATGGAATTTGCTTTAAATAGATAAAATTCTTTACCTCATACAATGCTTCTTTGAACTATTTATCTATTGATTTGTGTGAATTTGAGAAACTAAAGTTCAATATTCTTACCCGAGATCTTCTTGTCTCCCTTTAGACATTGCTTCATCACAACTTTTTGATGCATGCCACTTGGACTTGCATACTGAACAAAATTGAAGACCACACTAAAAATTGAAAATCATATCCAGTTATAATAATCACGCTAAGGAACTGTGTTTTTATCTAGGTTTTCCATTTCCAGCCCCGGTAGCTACAGGGGGGGCAAAAATAATGAATTGCCCATCAGAAAAATTTGTCTATTACAGATAATCATTAAACCAAAAATTTGTGTACCCTTTAAATAATTTCAGAAGATTGTCAAGGAAATTGTGACAATGGACATGATTTGCTGCTATTTTGTCAAAACCTTCATCAAGCGTGGTCTTATGCAGACTTTAAATATCTACTGAGTCAAAACGTTTAAAAAATATAAAATTGAATTAGACACTCAAAATGGTTAAACACAAACCGTGGGACATTGTACAGGTGTAGCACTGACATTTTCTTCTAACCTACTAGAACACACATGACATACTGTCTCACACCCTGCTTCTGGACAAAATGTTCTATTAGGATCTAAATCTACTTCTGTAAAATATTACACACCATTATTTTCATCATCAGTGGTTTAAAAATATATTGTTGATTAATCTGGCCTTGATTCATTTTCATCAATATTAGAAATACAGACGTATAAAAATTATATCTCTTCTTCTTGAAAACTAAATATCTATATATAAACAGTCATGTAACCTAATTTCGTGCTAACCTATTTTCCGTACATCTCCGGATTTATAATTAACATGTGTGACCTCGCGTGACCTCAGAATTTGCTTGTTTTATGGGTTATCTCTACAATCCATTTCCTTATAAGCCCAAGCTGTAATCGGAATTCCAAGTGTCATCTGCTAAAATGAAGTCCAATGAACGAAGTCAAGTGATAAACTACCGGATTCCGTGTCAGCAGAAAAATTCTGTTGTTTAAATGACATTTAGCAATAAATCACTTTTACTTCTCTTATTTTGTCAGTCACTATTTTTTTTTTAAACCATTGTTCTTTGAAGGAATTGTCATTAGTTATAATGAAATATTAGTAAAGATAAATACTAAGAGAAGTTCATCATACCAATTGGTATCCATACAACATTGAACACGAAAATAGGTGACGTATTTTGCCGATGTTGTCGAGTTGGTTACTCATAATTATGGGTCAAAGTGAGGGATTCATAAAGAAAATTGAAACAAACCAATTTTAATTATTTTGTAGAATATCTGAAGAAACTTGTAAGACAAAAAAAATAATATTTTATATTATATATTAAAGAAATTCGGTGTTGAATCCTTATATGCATGAATATAGGTTACACCACTGTATATATATGAATATTGTAATCAGAGTGGTTAATAAAAATTTAATTTTAAATCTATTTCAGTGATTTTGGTATTAGTTGAAAATAATGATTTAGTTTATAGAATGTTTTAACCTTATAACTAGCAAATTTGACGATGTCAAAAAGGATTTCAATGTTAATTCTTTTTGGTATGGTATAGACTTAGCCTTAGTGTTTTCCTTAACATCTGAATAACTCACCTTCCATATAACACAGTCTTTTATATCTTTCATACATATTTTTATCAACCAACTTCTGAATCTGTATTCATAGGAAATAAAACATCTATATATGAACTATTTCTCCAAGAATCATAATGTGCAAGATAGAGGCATGGCCAAATACGCCCACTTCAGCATGTTCTTGGTGATCCTCATTTTGGTCATATGCTAACATACCAAGTCATTAAAGCCTTGCATTACAGCTATCATTAATTTGTATCATTGACTGGAAGGAATCACTCTCAAAAATAAGGGTATCTTGACCCCAATTCATTGAACATAAAAAAAATATTTTCAACATTAATACCTCGTGTTTTTCTAGTGAACCATGTTTTTTACACTGAGCATCTGGACATGTTATATCTGATACGTTTCCTTCTTTTATCATCACACTTAAATACTGACGTACACACTGAAATACACAAGACATATGTATTTACCTATAAATAAAAAAATCTACAAATTTCAAGTTACATAAAATTCTGGAAATACATTATATTCTGTAAAAAAAAGTCTTGAAATCAATGAAAATATTAAGAAAAGAATTTTAGAAATAAAGGACACTTGAAAATTTAACAATTAATCTATCTTATTTGTCTTAAGTTGATAAACTTCACTAAAAAAATGTTTCAGAAAAAAAAATAGACTTTATTACTCACCATTTCACAATATAAACATTTACAATCTATCAATTCATACATGTCTTGTAATGGACACTCCATTAAACATAATTTACACATTATCATTGGAGCTATAGCTAAATCTACACTACTTTTGGCAACTGAATATGTAGCCATTTTGTTTAGTTCTCTTTCCAGATCTGAAATTAACACATTTTAATAACAAGTTTCTAATTTTTTTTAAATGACAGTCCCGTTACAGGATGACTTTTAGGACAAGTGACGCTGCCTTTCTGGCTTGTGTAAGGTTTAGTTTTGGGGTTTGGAAAATTTTTTATAGTGTAAAAAAAAGATAGGCCTATGCAGTCTGTTGTAATGATGAATATTAAAAATTTAATTTCAAATTACGATTGCATTCAGTTGATGTTACAATTTTGGCAATGTGACTCAAGTGGAGTAGATCACTGTTCAAGTGAATCAGAAGAGAATGTTGATGCATTGTATCTTAGATAAGTAAAATATTCAGTTCCTTTTCCTAGTCTTAGTTCATGTTTGGTATGTGAATTAATAGACCAAACTCAACCTCTTGTAGTTTGAATGCTAGCCTACAGATTAATATCTAACTTTTATCAATTCTTATTTATACTTACACTGTCAAAGACTGGTTACTTTTAAAAAAGACAACAGTCATCAAAAATAAATGATTTGAATCTGCAAAGATCCCAAATTTCATTTCAATATTCAATTTCTAATGCTTATGAATGTTTACATCCCGTTGATGTGTTCGATACACTTATTTTATTAGGACCTAGTTGATTGTATTTTCAAATGATTCAAAATTCAGGAAATGAGAACTTATTATTTTGTTTTTCTTCGATTTTAATTAAAATTGAAGTATTCATGTGTATTTATACACATTAAATTTTCCATGATTAAGTTTTTAACCCAAATTATAATTATTCTTATCACAGTTATAGTAGCTAGAGTTCACTATGCGAACGAACATACACTGACCTTGACTGTTTGAACTTTAACCTTTCTACAGGAAATGAAAATCTTTGAAACGATCAATCTGATTGGCCAAATTTAAGAAAGACGCCATTTTACCGCCATTCTACTCATTCGTAATAATGTCTGACACAGAAAATAATCTCCCAAGCCCTTCCAAAGAGGTAATAAGATGTTTCAATAGTGTCAAAATGTATGACACTACTCATGATTTCCATTTACATATTTACCTTATCTTGGAATTTCTTTGTACTTAAGAGAAATTAAGGTTCCGAGCGTAAATAATGGAAAAAGAGCGTAACTCCTTGATGCAACACAACACTCCAGACCACAGTCAATATGTGCACATGTTTTTATTGTCCACTTTTCGTTCATTTATTGAAAACTACTAGTCCATAATGAGACTGAGGGTAAATAACGCAATACTGGGAGGGGGTGCAATTTCTATAACAAATTAGGAACATGTATCCATGAACTTATCGTGTCGACGATTTCAAGATTTTTTATTTTGAATGTTTGTTGATGGTGTCATGTATATACAGTAGACTCCATCATCCTGTCCCAATGCATCTATGCATAGCTGTGACCGAAGATTTCTTGATGTCACAGACTATATCAACATTTAGGATATCCCAAATTTCTGAGAGATAATAAGCTTCTGAATGAAATAAATACTAGTACCGTTAAAAGTTAAATTTCTTTTTGGAGTCTATTTGAAGGAATCTTACGATTTTGGTACAGTTTGAGCAGTTCTGAAAACTTTATTACATGTATTGGAGGCCCAAATCAACCCCCAAAAATGATGTATAAGTTCTTTAATTAACCATAAACCAGTCTAGATTTTTTTCCGCTATTTTTCCTTCACTTCCGTTTTCCTCTGAACAGTAGTAAAAAATGAAAATCTTAAGATAATCTAATCTAGTCATATGATGAATATTGTCGAAAGATGTCTTAACTGCCTTTAGGCTCTTGTTTAAAGGGGTGTTCTGCTTTTTTGTAAAAAGTTTTCATTATCAAAAACAATAAGTAACATTGAAATTTTACCTGAAAATGTTGCTAAAGTATGCTATTTATATCAATGTATCTTTTTGATAAAACTGAATTATTTTTTAAAAGGGTTAGCAAATTGAGATCGACTATTGGTGAAATCAAACTTGATAACTAGCAGTTTGGCATAGTTTTGCATTTGGATTTATGATGGCTTGATATTATTGGTTGAAACCTTTAGAATACCTAGGAGACATATTTCTCTAAAATTTTACTAAAATCTGTAGAGCTTCCAAAAAGCATAACAAACTTACGTAAGACTTTTTTAGTTAAAACTTTCAGATAAGTTTAAGGGCTCATTTCTCTAGATTTAGTTCATGGTTTTCACAAATTTGAGTTGAATAAAAAAATTTACCTGCAAAAGAAGGCAAAATATCCCTTTAAGGTCAGTTTTATGTTAAGTTTCAGGCCTAGGGTCTCTTTTAGCGCTTTATGGCACCCTTGATGGGCATGATGACCGCGCTTTTTTCATATTTTGTGCTGCATAAAGGAAGTGCCAGTAAAATTGTAAAAGAAACTGGCCTGGTTCATGGCAATAAATCCACTTTGTTGTACTGTTTAAAAGTGATAGTAAATCGTATATCGTGTTTAGTATCGAAAAGGGGTATGTTCCGCTAAACTAATCAATAATAAGGTTCATAGTTTAATTTTATATGATACAGCATATTTTGCAATTATTGACGTGGTTATAGTGGCATTACAGGATCCACATATGTCTGACTGAAAATTGGAATGGTGCAAATTGATGCTATCAGTGTCTAAAATACACATATGATTTAGAAAATCTGCCATGTTTTTCTTTCTATTGAATTGAGAACCAGCCATCAGATTTAGTTTCTAAAAAATGATATGCTGCACAGTAGCTGAAACTGAGCTTTTTATACTGATTTGAAACAGTGCATTGTAAATTGTTAGCTAATATTTGAAAAAAAAATAGGCAAATTTTATTTACTGTCATAAGTACTACTGTTAGTTGAGAATGAAAAGTGGCTCAGCAAGCCTGACATTTTCTTGATGTATAGGGAATAGGGAACCAGTACAATTCTTTTAATTCATAAACAGATGATTGAAGCTGGTTAAACTTCACCTTTCTTTACAGGAGAATGCAATGGAAACCTCAAACAATGATGAAACAGAGGAGAAAGAAAATAAGGATGAAATAATCCCTAATGTAGATAGCCCACCACCTTCAGAACCTAATACACCCAGTAAAAGTCCAGAAGATACTTCCTCTAAGCCAAAAAAAGGAAAAGCAATTGGATATGTCAGTGACAGTGATGAAGAATTACCAAGTAAGTGTAGGGTTTTTTTTATGTTGTATAAGCTTACTGAATTTTAAGATTGTATCTTATTTTCAAAAAGCTTAAACTGCTTAAAATGAAATCAAAAGTGGATGACAGTTATTCAATCTCTCTGCGACTTTACCACAGTTTTGTGTAGTCATGGAAGTTTTGAAAAGAGAAAATTTTCAGTGTGATGTTAAAATTAGTGGCACAAAGGGAAATGTTTCAACACATTTATTAAATACAAAATATCTTTTGTTGCTAGTGGGGTTATTGGAGAGACCAGTTGTTATTGAGTCAGGCAAGAGAGAAAGAAAGAAAACAGACAGATTACCAGTTGGTGAAGGCTTTGGCTCAGGTCAGAAGAAAAAAATTGATATTCCAGAAGGCAAAGGAGAAAAGTTAGGAAATATAGCTATAAGTAAGTGGAATTTTTTTTCATGGTCTTTGCCAATTCAGAAATCTTGAATTGTTGTTGTGAATAAGAAGCACTCAAATTTGATTTGAATTAAGGAATTTCAAATGATTTTATATTACCTGTAAGTTGTGCCAAACCTAGAGTGCTGTTAAAGAATTATTCAAAATCCACTACATGTATCTGAATGGATTGCAAATTGTAAAAGGAAATGGTTAAAAAATTGTACATGATGATATAATGTTTCTGTCTCCAGTTGAATTCAGAATAAACCAACACAAAGCAGAAGATCTAAAGGTTTTCCATAGGATATTATTTTCAAGGACAGGCACGGTATGTATTTTTTTTTTTTAATATCTGATTACTATTCTTGTCATAGGACTGACTTATTTTACATAATAAATAAAGTTCAGAGGTCAACATAAAAATTAAAACAAATGACCCTCATTGTCAAGACATGACTTGCCTGGTATAGAGTAAGCTTAACATCATGATAGTGCAATGCATAAAAACTTTTTCATATTAATAGGTAGCAGGACTCAAAAATATAACAAATGCTGAATGAATAGAAACTTCATGGTTGGATAATATGAAATTCCATTGAACATAATTTCGTTGAATATCACTTGAGTTTGTGCCTACAAATACCATTTTGTTTCAGGCAAATGAAATAAAGAAAAATATCAGATTATTCAATGGTTTCCCTTTTGAAGTTGATGATAAAGAATATACAAAGAGAATGTCTGTTTTAAATAAGTATGTTTTTTTTTTCATTACTATATATTTACACAAACAGTGATCACTGATATTATCATGACCCGACAAACATTAAAAGATGTGTCACATGCCTCTATTGTATATATACTATATTTTTAGGGGCAGCATAATGCAATTGTTTTAGGTACTGTTGAATTGCGGTTTTGCCCATTTCAGTAGATTTTTTAAGTTTAGAAACAAAGAATTGGGAGCTTTTATAAGAGAAGATCAATGGAAATAAAAAGAACGAATATTAATTTTGTTTATTTTTTTTTGATACTAAAATTTGACCATTTTAGTGACATTTTTATATGCCCACACTTAAGTATGTGTTCAATAAAATAGAAGACACACAAACCATTTCACAAAGTTTTTTACTGGTCCATTTTTAGTTGATCCAAATAATGTGGATACTCTATAGCACAACACATGGGTAAACATTCAAAAAAATAATCTGCTATCCCCTGTTTCAGGAGCACAGAGGCTCCCTTCCTCAGGGACAGACACACATAAAATGTCAGTTGAAGTTCAATGTCACTTTCCTTGGTAGTTGCTAAGTAACATTCCAACATTTTTTTCATGGTAGGAATCCAATATGACTTCATAAAATGATGATCCTTTAGGACTAGTTAGTTTTTTCTATAGCAGATTATTTTTTTGAATGTTCACACTTAAGTATGGGCGTATATCGTAGTTGCCCCTGTTGGTCGTCCGTTCACATTTACCTCATGCTCACTCTACAGTCTACAATTCTCCATGAATTCTTTTGATCTTTCGTATGTGTGTCAATATCATAATGAAGATGTGCACTAATGAATTTGGTGAGGGTCCGATGATTTTCTTGAGAGATGTCGCATTAGACTGATATCGCGTTCGTTTTTTTTTCCACTTTTTTGGCTCGTGCTCACTCTACAGACTACAATATAGAGTTTGTTTTACAGTTCACATTTAGCTCTTCATGAAGCTGCTGGTGGGCGTATTCGCTTGCGAGACTTGCCGCAAGCCTATGTTTATTTTATATATAATCCTTGGATACAAAAAAAAATCTAATATTTTGCAATGTAATTTTTTTTATAGAGCCACACTTCCTCAAATTAAACTAATGTGTGCAGTGTTAGATATAGAAAGAAAGGGAACCAAGGTGGAAATAGTTAATAGATTAATGAATTTCTTAATGAAACCAACAGATTCAGGAAAAGCAGTACCCAAACCTAAGAGTAAGTTTGATGACTGTAATGGCTCTTAAAAATCCTATTGAAGTAGATACTATGGTGAGAGGTGTTCCGATTGTTGGTGACAATTGATTATCGGTCTTTGAAAGACCAGCGATGTTACTAATTGATTTTCAACTGAAAGTCGATGATGTCGGCAAACCATATAAAAGTCAGTCATTTTGTTTTTTGTTGGCAATATAAAATTATAAAGATTGGGTGTCTTAAACAATGAGTTCCTCATCTTAATTTGTCACACCTTTGATTAATTTTTCTCGAGGACTGATTGTTACTATTAATAGTATCGTAGTCACAGATTGTGCTGAATAAGGTATTATACTGAAGTGGACGACATTTCGATGAGTAGAGGAGAACAGCATAGATATGGCCTCTTTGCAAAAATTCATGCTTCATCATTTAATGATCGAAATACGTCACTTCTATTTGTAACAAAATACCACAAACCGGAGCTTTAAAAATTGGAGAATCTACTCGTGTGACCTTGAAAGTTTAGACCCAATGTCACAGGAATGAATATGACTAATGCCAGTATTTCATCATCCCAAAAATAACATTAGAGAAATCAGGAGTATAAGAAAAGCCATTATTGAAGAAATATTATAAAAAGTGGATATGTCATGTGAGTTTATGTGAGATAGAGTCACTGTTGTGGGAAACGGCAACATTACCGCTCAATATCGTGGTGTCTGCGTTATGCCAACTTTATTAAATTAATTTATAAAGCCTTAAAACAAGTGCATGTCCATTAAATGGGGTGTGTTTCGATTATTAATCCATTACATAATCGATTATGCCTCTCTGATTATTTTGATTAATCGATTATTATTTTCATCCGATTGCCCATCACTAACTATGGTTTATCTGTATTTATGGTATAATCGAAATAACTATGCCTAAGATTGAATTCAGAGATGTTTTTTCAAGTTTTCTGCAATTAACAGAAACACATATAGTGGAGTGAATTTTGGCAAGTGAGGGACTAGCTAAAACAAATGTCCTCTTCTTATCACAAAAATGAAGGTTTGGATGGTGACTTTCCACATATTACATTTATTTTAAGGTTATCACTTATTTAACACTGAAAGGTTTGGGATTTTAAAACAATATTCACAATGTATACCTTTTGTTACAGAAAAGAAATCCAGAACATCAGGAGAAAAGCGAAAAAGAACAAAGAAAGAAAGTAAAGCTAAATCAAAAGAAGACGTGTCAGATGATGAAGATGATGATGATGATGTCAAGGATACCACACTTGAAGATGATGATTCATCACAAGAAGATAATGTTGATGGTGATGATAGCGAGAGTGAAAAAGAAGAAGCTAAACCTCCTAAGAAGAAAAGACGCACAGAATCACCCAAACCACAAAAGACCAAGTCTGAAAAACCTAAAGCGGAGAAAACAAAAGCTGAAAAGCCTAAGGCCAAACCGAAGAAAGAGAAAAAGGAAAAAGAAAATGGTAAAAAAGAAAAAAGTAAATCCAAGGTTACAAAAGGTAAGCTATAATTTGATAAAGTGAAGCAAAGCTATTGCAGCACATCCAGGAACATGAACTGTACCAGTATTTTATTTTAAAAGGCCATTCCACTTTTTTTGTAGGTCAAAATGTAGATAAATTTGTCCTTTAATGTACCGGTATCTTAAAGTTTTTATCCAGCCATTGATTTTTCAAAGCCAAAACTATATAAAAAGTTTATGTATACTTTTAAAGTTTGTTATGCTTTTTGAAAGCTGTTAGAAAACTACTGTACAAATCTAAGTAAAATAAATGCCTAATTGTAGAGACATTTATTTAAAAGGTTTAAACTAAAAAATATCTATTTCATCATAAAGCTGAACACCAAAACTAGGTAAAACTGTTTAATTTACAGTTAGTTCTTGTTTTTAAAACAAAAAATGCTGTTTGATCAAGAAGATACATAGATATAAATAGCTTACTTAAGAAATATTTTCAGCTATAAATAGAAACTTTTTCAAAAAAAGCGGAATGTCCCTTTAAGGTAGAATAAACTCTAAATTGAAACAACACAGATAAAAATTATATTTTGTTCATTAGGCTACACCAAATGAATTGATTGGTCGACGGAATCGCCACATGTAAATAATTAAAAATATATAATTTAATTTAATTTGTAATTTTCTGTATCAAAATCGGTTAATCGCAAATTTCATACGATCGTATTTTTTTTGTGTTGGGGCGACCAGAAGTGGGGAAAAGACAAGTTGTTACTGGTCCAAAATAAAACGTCTGGAGGACATTATCGTCATGTTTAAAAAAAATTTAAAACCATCACATGAGTAAGAATTAAATAGACTATAGCCCACAAGGGCCGAATAGCAAAACCACAAATAACTTGGTGATTGGCCAAAATGAACACACACTACCAATGATAAGGAATGATATAAATATAGCAATTCGTAATATAAATGTATATTTTCGTACACCTTTACATATTTTTTCAACGAATGTAGGCCATTTGAACTGTTGCGTGTCCAAAGCAGGGGTTGACGAAATAAATTTTTTTACTTTAAATTGAAGCTAATAAAACTAAATAAACTTAGCAGTCATGTACGAACAATTAGGTGAATAAAAAGAATGAGATGAATCAAAACAGAATAAATGCTTGTATTTTGGCACATTCGCAGGAAAAAAAATAGTCAAAAAAAATTTTCGCTCGCTTACTCCGTTTTTTAGCTGAAAATCTGTAGACCAATTGTTTCATTTGGCCTTACAACCTAAAAAAAAATGAAGTAATTGTTTTAAGTTCTTATTATTTCTTGTAGACTCTGATGATAGTTCAGATGATGAACCATTAAGTAAATCTATATCTGATCCACCAGGTGTAAGTACTTTTTGTGTATTATATTACATACTGGGGCAAACGCTTTACAGAGCCTATTATTAATACCTAAGTTGGCATTTTGTATGATATGATTTTCTTTGTGTGTTTTAAGAGGCATTTTAAGAAGACAATTGTAAATTGTATTTGCATCATTCTGACTTCCTTCCAGCACTATGTGTTTTTTGAAGTTTTTTTACTCAAAGCTGTAGGGTGATGTACCTGTCTCTAAAATTGGTCCAAATATAAGCTACATTTGTTCTCAATGCTCGTACAATGGAAGAAGGCCTGTAATATTTCTGTTTAGATTATTGAGTCATAAGGTATATAATTGTGGATTTTTTAAGAATATTAATACTATAATTGCAGAATGATGAGATAAAGAAAGTTATAGAAAAGATATTAGATGGTGCTGATTTAGAAGAAGTGACCATGAAAACTGTAGTAAAACAGGTAAGTTTTTATATTCCTTAATTTATCTCTTTTAAAAAAATGCCCTAACACTCATGTTACCTATGTGTATTGAATACTCTTTTAATTTCCTTCATTTTATTCAAAACGTTAGGCTAGTGTGTGTGTAGCAAGTTGAACACAATGTTTAATTTTTAAAAAAAAATAAGTATAAATGTATATCTGAATTCATAGGTGAATCAATATTGTTAATTTTGGCTGGTTTGGGTGGAGATCTCACTCAAAGCCATTACATCTGATCTACATCACCTTTGAATAATGAATTTATTGTTTTTCAGTCTGCATGGCGTTGTCAGTCTTCATTAGCCCACATGGTGCAATATAGGACCCATTCCATTTAATTTTATTTTATTCATTATTTAATATTTGCAGGTGTATGCTAAATATCCTAAGTTTGATTTATCAGATAAAAAAGAATTTATTAAGTGTACTGTGAAAGAGGTAAGAATAATCTAGAACCTGTCTATATATTACAATTGATATTGGTGAACTATTTGTCCCCATGTGTTTCCTTGTACTCCAAGACAAGATGCCATCTTCATGGTTTTAACACGCTCTACTTTGCCACTTTCGAACATTTTCTGTATGCTTATTCTGATGAAGTTGGTATAACTGGTCTTGCCTTCAGTAACATGTTCATATGACAAGACTTGGTGGAAATGCATAAACTCTACAGTTTTGCTACCTAAGGTATAATTACTGTGAAAGTGAGTAATTAACATAATAAATTCTGTTTCCCTATTTCAGATTATTTCCTTTAATGATTGATAAAGAGATGATATGGGTTTTAAAATGGCAGCTTTTTGTTGAATATGGAAGTTAGAGAATAGAGTGATCCACAGAAAAGACTAGAGTATTTTAACAATACACATTTTTAATCAGGATTTTATCAAAGTTGTTGACATTTCACATTGTTAGTTTGGATGGTGGAAGCATTCTCTAGATGTTTATGGAATTGGTTTTAGACCAGCTGAAGTAGTGCAGTCAATGAAATTCATCAATTATCATGATAATCATCCTTCATTCAAGGTTTTAAAATTGTGTATATTATTTTGCAAGTCACTAGATGGCATTTAAAAGATTTTACATCATCATCAAATATGAAAATTGGTTTTAGACCAGCTGAAGTAGTGCAGTCAATGAAATTCATCAATTATCATGATAATCATCCTTCATTCAAGGTTTTAAAATTGTGTATATTATTTTGCAAGTCATTAGAGTCTATCTCTAAGGCTTGAGTCTACAATAATGAATTGTGAAGAAAAATGGCATGGATGCCAAAGTGGAAAAAAATTTTTTTTGTTCACTGGGTTTCATGTTTTTTCAAAATTTACTTATTGAAAACCTTGTCACATGTGTTATCAGTGAACAAGTTTTTCTGCAAGTGGAAAATTCTTTTCCCTAATATAGTGCTCTGTAAAGTTATCAAGAATTCACAATGTAATGCTTCTTATATGAAGGAAAAACTGTCTATTAAAGTTGTGTAGGTATAAATTATATACTGGTATTCAAGGAATGGAATAATGAAATATTATCATATTTCTTATAAGATTTTTTTCTTCATTGTATATTTTCATCTGATTTAATCATTTTGGAGCTTATTTTAATATTTTATATATAAATTATCATTGTACAGAGTCAGCAGAATAAAATAATCATAGCAAGTTATAATATAATTATAAAACTTGTTATTCAACTTATATTGTTATTATTTATTACCAATAAGACATCAATCTCATGGCATAACCCCAATTAGACAATCACTTTTAATCCCTAAAGACCTTAAAAACCATCAAGATGAGAGATTATTTCAAGTTTTTAAGGGACAGATGCACCCTTTTCTGCTAGGAGTAAGAACTTGAATTTCCTCAGTATTTTAAGATACCACTCGTCTGATTTGAGGAGCTCACAGTTCTCCTGATCACTGTCATGTTGATTAAATTTATTCCATTAACAGTGTAGAATACAATGTCTATTAACAAAAAAAATCACACATCGGCAAGAAAGAGCCTGTTCAGTCACTACATTCTCTTTCAGCTCACAATTCAGCCAATATCTAATTGTTGAAAAAAAAAATTTGTGCTATTTTCACTACTCATCCATTAAATTTACAGTTCATCAAAAGTATTGTTCTCGTTAGACCAAAATATTTGTTATTCACATTTCAACAAATATGTTCTTCTAGACCTAAGAGCTCAATCTTCATTTATCACATTGCCCACAGAAGCTCAGTTCTCATACATTATACATCTTAAATCTCAATCTTTTTCCAACATTGTCTGAGACGAAAGAGCTCAACAGTTCAACTCATTGCTAGCTGTAATTTCTATATTTGGTATCAAGCTATCATAAAACACAGTACTGATGTAACATTATTCTAGCATGTTCTATAGCACCACTACCTTCATAAATTAATGATAGATTAAATGCTATTTCCTTTCTTAAATCATATATTCCCTGTAAATATAAATAACATGATTATTGTGGTACTCGCATAGTTTTGGAATGGTTCTAGTATTGTCCTCTTAGTCTGTACAAATAAATATTTTGTACTAGGCAATGTTAACTCATTTCAAACCTTAGATTGGGGTCCTGTTTTAATAAGTCTTAGAAGTTAAAAGCACATTCTTTAGGCCTTTTTTTATAAAAAGCATATGGTAGTCATTGAGATAAATACTTACATTGGGATGGTCTATTATAGGAGGGAAAGTTAAAGCTTTTTTATAATAGAATACTGCAGCATACTTTAAATCTACAAAAAAAGACAATCTACTCTAAATATTTCCAATAGCAAGGTGTTATAGAAAATAAATCACATTCTTTATAACTGGAACTGTTGTCTATCACTATCTTCATACTTTTCTCACTAAACTAAATTTAACTGATTTAAGTGAATTCATATATCAGTTTCAAATTTGTTATGATCAAAATCATAATGAAGTTAGACACATACAATAACTGAAAGTTGTCTTTATATAGGCTAAAGCTAAGATTTCATATATGCGGATCCGTCATGCATCATCTGTTTAAAATCGAAATCGTTGGTTTAGGAGGGTATGATTCCATAAATGCAGAAGTGGTATCCTTCAAATGGTCCCCGTCATGCGTCCAAAAAAAAAGCCGGGTGTAGCTGACGCAAGGCAGATCCGCATGACTTCCTGGAGGTTGTGCAGGTATATATATATATATGTAAGAAGAATACACAAATTAATTTACCTAACTGATGTAAGGCTCTTCCCATATTATAATAGGTTTCTTGACACTCTCCTCTCAATTCTACATATTTATTTAACATAGAAATACCCTAAAAAAATATATATTATTCATATTATTTGTAGGGTATGATTTTTTTTAAATGTGTGTTTGGTATTAAAAAATCCAGTCTCACAAAAATAGAACAATATCCTTTCTTTGCATGCACACGAGTTTCATTTGTATCCAGTAATTAGAATGGGATGCATGGAAATTTTACCAAAGCGGCTGGTTTACTGGCCACATAATTACCCAATAAATACCAGAACAGTTGTTACCAAGTGATGTCACATAACGTCATACCCATTAAGTTATATTACTTAGAGTTCAGGGTATATGATGTTTGATTTCATTAACACTCGGTGTTTAAAGGGTTAAAGTTATTAGAAAATAGTTGTGTTCGGGAGTAGGGGTAACATACTTTTATCAGAATTATGAACAGATATAATACATCTACATGTATATATTGTTATAAAATATCTTGTAGGGGGAATCACAAAGAACAAGATGCTTTTTTTGAAGGTATTTTTTCAATTTAAAAAGGTGCAGTTATGCTTTAAATTTGATTACATTACAATATTAATAGTTTACCTGTACAAATAACGTATGTTTTTTAGCTGAGAATTTCTGACAAGCTATATGTATATAACATAAACCAACACATAAATTAACCATAGGATCATTAGGTGTCTGTCTTAATACATTAACATATTCACCTACAAACGTAACAATTAATCTACTTTAATGTCTGAATTGAATTTCGTTCATCTGTTCAATAAAATTCAGAATACTATTTGTTTCTGTTCATTTTTGAGCTTAAAAGCTCAGTACATATTTACAATCCTAAATTCATTTCCACAAGAAATAAATATATATACCAACCTAAAGCATTTTTATAGGAACCACTCAATAAACAATTATGACCATTAGTTAAACCTAGTGGAATACTTTCAGGATTCTGAAAATATAAATGACAATTTGTCAACACTAGTTTTATGTTCACTTTTGACTGAATAAACAATTTTCAACCATTTGACAACCTGTTCACACAGCCAATAGCCACCCAATTATTGACACTGCAGTTAAAATTATCTTCTCTCAACATATACAATACAAGAAGACATGATATCATCTCCTAGCAAGATAGCCTGGCCACACATTCTGGAAACGATTTTAGCGACTTAGGACAGAAATTTGAAACAGGTAAGTGAGCTGTCCCAAACATATTCTATATGTCTCATATATCAAATATTACACTTCTATATGAAAATATAAAAAATGAAACAATACAATGAATACACAGGCTATCTGCACCATCACAATGCATTTGTCTTTGTTTTCAATCTTATTTATACCGTTGTTAATTCGAATGCGAGAGCGTCATTTGTTTTGCGTATGATCAATTAATTTTTTTTCCTCGCCGTCGTGCTCATTTCTTCTTGAAGTATTTTCCGAAAGAAATAATCCATTTTAGGTGTCAAGAATGTCATTTAGTGACTTGTGGAGATTGACGAAGTTAGGATAGGATTGTTAAGTTAGTATAACTGTAAGACTATTTTTAATAGGAAGAATCTTAAATTTAAGATGTCTTCATACCTGTTCCAAGTGCCTTGAATCGGTCCTAGCTAAGATTGTTTCGAGAATACACAGCCAGAAAAAAAATCATCAAACTTCAATAGAATCACATACCTTCATTAGAAGTCGGAAAGCAAATTTATTATGTCTTGCATCATTAGCAAATGATATGACTTGTTGAAATAAATTCCATGCTTGGTTACAATCTTTAAACTACAAAATAAATCAATGATTTGAAACATGGAAAATATCAAAATGTTGGAAATTAGTTATCATTATGCCATCAGTTATCAGATGTCAAGATATTTAGTCCAGCTAGTAAGCATATACATAAATTCAGATACCTTTAAACAAATATCCTTGACAAAACCATAAGCAAATTGACCATTTTTATTTAATATACAAGCTATCAAACACATAAACTCTGTTTCCTGAAAATAGTGACATAAATCATCAAATAGTAAAACTAAAATATGTTGGAAATTGAAAGATTAATATTTGAGTTAAGACAGTTTTATTTGAAGTAACTAGAGAGAATAAATACTTCAATAACAATCCATTGTACAAACACTAATATAGGAATCAACAAGAAACAGTTTTATTTGAAGGCTTATGTTTTCATCCATATATGTATACCTTATTTGGCAATATACAAGGCTAAAAAGTTTTTCATCTAAGTGAGATATCTCAATTCGATTAAAAAAAACTTTTGCCACGAACATGCACACTTATTTAATAAATCATAGACATAAGAACTGCAACTGTAACCACCTTGCAACATCACTGGCTAAAGTGTGTAAAACTTGAGGCGACTAGAGAAATAAATGACAGTCATCAATCTAGTATGAGACTTTCAATGTAAGGCTTAGAACTTTTCACTCACTAGATATTACATTGATATACAAAAACTTTTATGATAAATATATTTTCTAATCTTACCTTTATCTTCTCTTCATCTCTCATAAATTGAGGACAAGTTAACCCCAATGTTGTAATTTCTAATAGTTCTTCTAATCTATTACTTTCTAATAGAGCATTACATAGCTGAAAATAAACCAAATATAATCAATTACAGATTACATAAAATAATCAATAATGTGTTATCATAATCATAGACTCCTTAACTATTTGCAATGGCGATCAAAAAAGTAAATACCGTAAAATTCATAAACAATGAATCTATAAACTTCAAGGGGTTTGCTTAAAAAAAATTTTTTTTTTCATTTTTGCTGTAGTGCAGTCAGAAAAATCAAAAATAAACACGCGAGTGAATATATCCCACATCACATGTTGAGGACAACTCAAATATAAGAAAAAATATCAAAATACAAGACTGTATTTAACTCCTCTACCTTTAGGTATATAGCCCACATATCATCTGATGTTACTTCACAAGCTTTTTCACTAGTTGTCTGTTTAGATGTACTACTTACTGAAAACACGAAATACTGTTCACTTTTATATTAATTTATACAATATTACAGATTTCATAACAGGTTCAGTTTGCCAGTAGTTCACATATATGTTCACTTCCATGATGCTGTCCATTAATGTTCACACAGACAATAAAGATTGAAGATGTCATAATATCTGCATGTAAAAATGTTTAAAATGTCCTTTAAGCTATGACTGTCTGCAGTTTCGTTGAACCATCAGTCTGTAATAATTATGCAAAGTGACAGTTGAAACTCAAATCTGCAACAATATTGAAATGATCAAATACAAATGTCATTAAGCATCTCCCCCCTCCTCCCAAAAAAGTGGTAAGCCTTAAAGGCTGAAAAATAACCTTATCAAATATGGAATAATCCAATTTAACTAATACTTACAGAAAGAATCTAAAGATGATTGACCATGATGAAAGTTGATATAAGCTCTTAAAGCATCAGCTCTATGTTTATGTGCTCTATAGGAAAATACCACTAGAAAACCAAAGATTATGTATATATAAATTGAGAGCATCAAAAAAGCAAAGTAAACTATACATATGACCTTTTTTAATTTCAAGATGCATTCATCTCTGCCAAAACTTCATTTTTGGAAGTATATGGTATTAACTGTAATTTTACTTTGTATAGCCAGCATGCTTCTCTTCATTTTCCGAATTTTTATTAGGTCAGACCATTTAAACAAATTTTCATGTTTTTAATGTATCATAAACATGTACAACATAGCGTTCATTACTTACATTTCATAAAAGCAGGACTATAAATTTCTCGGAAATGTTGAAAAAGAAGTTTTTTGCTACAAATATAGAATTCTTCAAATCTGTTTTGTGAATATAATAAATGTGATTTATGTAATAATAGAACTTGATCTTCTTGACTTAGTTCTCTTTCTTCTTGTTCACCTGTAAATATATGACTTAATTAGCCATCCAAACTATCTACTGACTATAAGTATTTTGACAATCTCTTGATGGATTCTCTGCCTGCAAAGGTTTCAATATATACATCTGTGCATTTAATCATTATGTTCAATTTTGTTCATGGCACGTACATTCTGTAAAAACAATCATACCTCTTGACAATATCTCTACAGCTTCATCATGTTTACCAAGTTGTTGTTGTAAAGCTGATAAAGACACCCTAGCTCCAAAATGAGCAGGAGCTAGATCTACAACTTTAGTGTAAGCTTCAACTGCACCTTGTAAATCACCTATAGAACTTAGACATTCAGCATACCGTAACCATACAGCAGCCTACAATCAAACAATATATTTCAAATATATAATATCTTATGCAATCAACTTAGCTCAAAGTTTGTTTTCAAGGTTACATACATGCAGGTGTAGTGCACTGAATAGATGAGCCATAATATTTCTACAGGTATCTGATCTTGTCATTCGTTTTTATGTTTATTGAACCTAGATAGCCAATGAACTCATTTTGTGTCTAACATTTGATTTTGTCTGCTTTCACACTAGCTTACCTTTTGACTAAGTTATAGACCTGAATGATTCAATTCTAACTCTGAAAATAACTAAAAGAGACATCTTCAGCAGCTCTATACCATTTCAATGTAATATTCACCTTGTCAAAGTTTGTAGACTTTACCAGAGTTTCAAGAATAGGTATAGCTGATTCATGACACCCAACCTCCATATAAGATTCCGCTACATCTAAAAATAGATCTCCCACATCATTGACTTCTTCTTCTAGTAAAATATACTCTATCATCTGTAATAACATAATATATGATACCTTTATTTGTCCAATTTAAACAGAAATAAAGTGAGAACGAAGAGATGATGCATTTCATTTTGCTTGTTGTATTATATTTCTGAAGACACAGATTGCAAATTATGCACATGATGAAATGTTTTCTATGTTAGTTCATCCATTCTACATAAGTCACAAAGGCAGTGATAGTCAGTCAGCAATCAAATTAAGTTACCAATTTGTACCTTGATCAGTGATAGGTAGACATTTTGTAAATAAGTTATAATTTATCATGCTTTAACTTAATCTCTTTCAGCCTTAGTCACACTAAAATACAGATGAAGAAAAGTGACTTACTTTGACTACCTCTAAACATTTCAATCTTATCAAAGATACAAGTAATTTAGATACCAAATCAACTGGTAGTGTATCAGGTACATGACAACTGTAATAGATATAATATAGTGACTAACACGCAATGATTTCAATTATATTTGGGTGTAGAAAAAATTAGCTAATTAGAACAGATAAACAAAACAAAAATATTAGAATTTGTTGTAAATCTCAAGAAATTGAAGATAATTATTGCTCAAGAAAGGAAATGAAATGCATAGTATTGGGTACATACCTTAATGGTGGTTGAGATTGCAAAGTTTCCAAGGTAACTGAAACTGTATCATTCCAACAAGTATGATCACCCAGTTCCAATTCAACACCACAATGTCGAACCATTAACTAGTAAAGTCACATTTAAGTTTTCTTTTTAAATCATACTTAAAATTAGGCTTTACAATCACACATATAAACATTCCCTTTAAACTTTTAAATCTAAGATAGAGAAGGATTCATTGAAATCATTGATTTCACAGACAATGGCTATTGGAATACAGTATAACATGTAACATATCAATTGGAAATTATCCCTATTGATGTATCTTGGATAGTGACTATAATAGAACTTATATTATGTGAATATTTCAACAATTCTATGAATAATCGAACTGTCATAATGTGATGAAAAGACTCCACAGTAAATTTCATAAATCTTTTATCATTTAAAAAGATAACTTGCCAGACATGGTAATATCCGCCCACTGGCATCTTTGATTTTAAAGAAAAATATTTGGCAGTACAGTAACAATTAACAGTATGAAATATTCAGTTTTCAATAAGGTTTATCCTTGGGTGATAGCAAACACTCACACCAAGTTTCATAAAAATCTGTCAAGAATTTCACCTTCTAGAATGTTTACATTTTAAGAACAAGGTCAATAATTCATAACAAATTATTTTTCAATTTTTCTGATAAAAATGCTGTTTCTACTAACCTGTATGCAATCAAAATACTGTTGTTGACTAATATACAACTCTAATAGTAAATTAGTATCTGAAACAGACAGAATTTCGAATGAAATTGAGCAACAGGAATCTTATACTCTCTCCTAGTCCTTGAGTAATAATACAAGTATTTGAAGCTATACATGTCATAGCTTACTTATACCATTTGTTGTAATGTTATTGTTATAATCATGCTATGTTATTGAAATGAAATGACAAATTATAAACAATCAAAGTACACACAACACAATCACGTCCAGCATGTATTGCGTACATGACACTTGACAGGTTTCCTAATAGGAAGGGACATAAGTCTATTTATGGCATGGAATGTTTCAAATATCCGCAAATTTGTTAAGCCGCAGGATTTTATCGGGAATGGAAAGTGTAGATGTGCAGATAAAGAAGGCTCCACTGTAATATATTACCTTGTTGATTGTTATTTATTAGATCTCAAGATATAAAAATCAACAATCCATTTCTATAAGTATTGTTAATTTACAAGCACATATAAGTATGCCAGTACATTTGAGATATTAAAGTAAAATAAATCTCAGACAGATTCAAGGACATAATAACCATGAATCAAGCAACAAGCAACAACTCTGTGACCTAACCTTCTGGAGAAAGTAAAGCAGCATGATTTTCAAAAGCTTTAGCCATGACATCTATAGCTATCTTATCTTCACCCATCTCATGATATGTCTACAAAATATAGAAACATGATACAGTTACATACAATCTGACTTTTTAAGACAATGGTATACTAATGGGATAAGAAATTTAAAATATTTATGGTATCAACATTTGAAGTTGACATCTGAACCAAATTAAAAAGACATCATCTGACATTGTCGACAAATGTTTCAGATATAAAATCCTCTTCAGATTAGGAATTTCCAATTGGGTTTCAATCCTATGAGCAAAGTACATAATACCTGTAAATATCTCTATTCTAAGGTGAGTTTCACAAATAAAGTCATCTATACTTTTGACAGATTGGTCATTGTACTTTTTTAATTCCACAAAGGTTAACAAATGAAATCTGAACAGCATAATTTTTTTTTGATTTATTTTTTCTGCGGGTGACGTTAAATCAGAATGACTGGGAAATACAATCAAATAATTAAATTATCAAAAGATGTACCTTGGTCATATCCTTGGCTAAATGTAGATATTTTTCACCATCTGTTTTAGGTAATAAGCGTAAAATATTCTGATAACCTTCTAATACTCTTTTAGTTTCTCCTAACTGTTCATGTAGACTACACTTCTGCCAGATATATTCCATATTGTTAGCATCATATCTTATAGCTGGAAGGTGAATTCATGACAAAATAACTTTCTCTGTGTTTGATCAAAAACCACAACCAAATAACAAAAACGCCATCCAAATTCAGTGATGTCTGACCTTAAGTGTATATTTTGATATCTTTTAACACATCTAAGGATATTCCTATGCAAATTACGTATATGAAGTCACATGGGCAGTTGTGACTAGCACTGCAAGTTTTGTATAAATTTTTACATTTTACCTTTTCCATAACATGCTATAGCTTGTTTGATATCATTTTGTTCTAGAGACATTTCAGCCAATCTCACCCATTCTTCAGAATCATCAGGACTCAGATGGGCAGCAATCAAATAAAACTGAAATATTCAATGTTGTATCTAAAAAAATGTAAAGCTTTTGTGCTTCAGTTCAAACCATAAAAAAAGTATCAAAATTAACAATAGTCAATCTCTATGTAATAAAAACACACAGTTCATGAAATATCATATTTAATAGAAATGTAACTTACCTGAAGAGCCTTTGCTGAATTACCTAATTCTTCATATAACATACCCAATGTTTGAAATGGTAAATAGGCATTTGGTGCTGGAAAACAAATAATATTTAATATGTACACATCTAATAATTAAAACAAAACTTTTACTTAGAAAAACTTTCAAGTCATTTTAATCCAAATACTATGGTAGTATAACAGAGAATGGTTAATCTGTCTATTGTGTTCAAGTCAAGTCACTTTAGCTAGAAATATTATTACCAAGTCTTATTACTTCCATACACATCTTAATAGCTTCATCATGCTCTCCACGAGCAAACTGTAAATTAGCTTCACCCATTAGTCCATGTAAACCTTTTGGAATATCAGTCTTCTTCCTCCTGGGCTGAAAAAGTTTTATATTGAAGAAGTTAAGTCTATCTTTAGAAGTAGTGACAAAAGCTTTAATATCATTCACTATAGCTCATCTGATGCTGCAGATATGTGATGTGGATTTACAATCATAATGTTAACAGCTAGATCTGGAAATATGTGTTGACCTAGTATGTTGAGAACTGATACATGAGCAAAGAAAGCAAACTCAGTTCATCTCATCTTCTTAGGATAAGAATTTGTGGTAATTGTAGAATATTACATTGAGAAATAGCATACTTAGGACTAAGTTGATTGTAAACAATTTTAAGGAATGGGGCCCAGGACTATAAGTTTTGAATAAATAATAACATGAAAACAATATGTTACCTTCTTAAATTTGATTGGAGAATTTCTATCCTCATCAGGAAATCCTTTATGGGAAACATTTGGGGGAACAAATGCCTCTTCAGAACCTTCCTCTGGTTCTGTAGCTAGATCTTTAGTAGCTATTTCTTCTTCAGCACCAACATCAGTTGAGTCATAAGTTACTGCATCATTGTCTTGTTTCTCCATAGACTTTAATTCCATCTGAACACTGAATTCTTCAAATGTTATTTCACCTGTAAGAACAGTAAACTGAATAATGAGATGGATTTACAGAGGCATCTGATCATAAATTTAGAGAACAAGAACATGTTTATCACTAACACATTTTCATCTCGAGTTTACTGATTTACAGAATATTACAATTTGTTGCATTTCTTCCACATTAAGGTCACAAATTCTTCTTGAAAAAAATTACTAGATCCGTAGACGGTTCCGATGCAGTGCGTATCCAACCTGACACAGCTACGAAACATTGCATTTTAAAGGGAAAGTGGGAAATAAAAGCATGTTAACATTCGGTAGTAAAAATTAGAAAAACCACTTAACATTGGGTAGTGAAAAGACGCATTGATTTGATAACATTGGGTAGTAAAAAGTGTTAACACTCGGTAGTAAAAAGTCAATTTTTATAATCGCTGTAAAACTGATAATAAACACCGCACAATACAAATGAAGATATATTTGAATAGATCTGGTCGAGCACAATAACTTTTGTTCTGGTCAAAAGATCAACAAACGTCAAATAAAGGTGATATGAGCCTTAAAAGTGTTGAAAATTGCTGTTTTGGGACGTCTCTAAAAGCGGAAGTATATGTCAGACATCAAAGATGAAAATATGAATGGACATCATAGATCAATAACCTTTGACCTTGCAAAGACCAAGGTCATGCATGTAAATGGTTAAAATATCAAAATTTATAAATCTATTCCCTTTCTTAAAGTAAAAGGCCCAAACAAATGTAACTTTATCACTTATTGTCCCAAGTAGTGATTTATTTTTATGTAAAATTTTGATGGTGACAAATGCAAACTTTGCGAGTTATAACAATTTCAAATATTAAAGGTGAAGGTACAATCATGAGATATTCGTAAAAGTTTTTTTTAAGGCAATGGTGACTGTCGGTGGAATATAGACACCGTGAATTTAAGCACAGTTACTATAGAATTCAGTACAAAATTTTCAATTTTTAAAAAGTGCAATTTTGATCAAGTGCGATATATCACCAAAAAGGAGAGATCATGCATTTTAAGAAATTTTGTCGTATGTTAATAGGGCAAGTAACAGAGCTCTTCAAAGTTAAAAATCGCGATTTTCAAATGGCTGTAGAGTCGGAAGTTAACGTTGCACAAGACAAATGATGGAATTTTGTGATAGATCTTGCCAAGAGCAACAACTGTTGTTCTGGTGACAAGGTCACAAGATATGATCCTTGAAAGTTTTGGTCCAAATTGAAAAAAATCAACTGGAAATAATTAAAAAGCAAATTAAAAATTCAAAAATTTGCTCCCACACGATTGTTAGGAATTGTTCACTGATAATATAGACTTTTAAATAATGCAAATCCGATTAAACCCCGACCCCGAAAAGTACTTTTATAAAGAATTTTGTCATTTTAAGATGGTGGCTGATCTAATACTTCCGGGACAAATTTCATCATTTCAAATCTTTTATATCAACAATTCTAGCATGTTGCAAAAAGAATTTTCTAAATATCTATAAAATCTTTTTACAGGCATAAAGCGCCAGAACTGAAAGGGATATCAAAATTTTGAAAAGTAATTTTAGTTTACAATCAAAATAGCAATCAACCTGTAGGAAAAGATCAAAAGTCAAAATATGAATTTTTGCATGAAAAACTTTTGTTATATATAGTTAGAAAAAGCACAAAAAGTCCATTCAGAATCTGAAAACAATAACCATCTATTTTAATTAGGACTCATGCTAGAGCAGTCCAAAGTTGAAAATTGTGCTGTCTTTGGACAGCTATAAAACTGGAAGTAGAAATTGGAGATCAAATATAACAGTAGCAAGCATAGCCAAGGCCAATGACCTATAATTCTGTAAAGGTCAATGTGACCCAAGGTCAAGGTCAACAGATATGAGACTTCAAACTTCAAAAAAAATTCAAGCGGAAATTGCAAAAAGGCAAAAGCGAAATTCAAAAATCGGCTTCCAACATTTTTATCAAATTTTAAGCTTTCCTTTGAAACTGAATAACATTTTGACGTATTTCAAGAAAATGCAAATGGTGGCCAAAATATCAATTTTCATGTCTAGTTAATGCCTCTGATTTTGTAACTGATAACGATATCTACCTTTTAGTAAACGTTTTAGTTACATTCATTCATAAAACAGGAAGTAGGTCAACCAGAAGTTTGTACATCGACTTCGTGAAAACTGGAAATGATGCAAAGTTTTTGATTATGCCAATTTGTTTTCTGTTGTGATCTGTTTTCAAACCAAAAATCGAAAATTTTGTCAAAATTTGCAAAATTTGGCTCAAAAATGTGTGCTATGAATTTTCAAAATCGAAATTTTTTAACTGCAATCCTATTGGATATTCTTGCAAGATCCCAAAATTGAAAACCCGAGAAAATTCGCTCCAAAAATGCGCCTTTTGCAAACATGTTCTAATTTATATCCACCTAGTAATAGACCACAAATGTAGATGTTTCTGCAACTATTACAGATTCTTCAGATTAGGCAACACAAACTCATATTTTTTTGAAATTACGAAAACAAAGCAGTGCGTTTGATAACTTAACTCACCAGTCAAATATTTGAGCGTGACATCTGAACCCACCGTGGCTATCTCTTTGTCCAATAAACTACCAGATGTAGATGGAATAATATCTTGAACTACATTTCCTGTATGATCAGTTAAACACATCTCTATCATGCCTTCTTCCACTACCACCTCTTCTTCTTCTCTTTCTCTTTCTTCTTCTTCTTCATCATTTACAACCATATTCCCTGACTTGATAGTAATTTTATACAATTTTTAAGTTGTCAGTTTCACTGTAGAGCACAATGCTCACTCTTTGGCATTGCTAGTAGGCCTATACTTTGACTTGGTCTTAGAATGTCTTGATATCATTTAAATATTTGATTTCCGAGCAAGATCGTTGGAATATTGAAACTTGTGCATTTTATTTAAGTGAATACAAGGTTCAAAACAGTACTGGTAATGTTAGACTGACTTTGCTATGATCATTGTAAAAAGTTTTGCAAACATCAGTGAAATAAAACACACTGTCCTTCCAGAAAATGTGCCAAATTTCGATTATGTATACTATTATGTATAGACCGCTTGAAACCTCGTATATGCCATATTTGGTCATTTGGACTTTTTGATAGTGTTCGAAAGCTTGTAAAAGCACAGATCTTGTGATCAAAACCTCGTATTCTTAGCTTGATTGTAAATAACTCAAAAAGCACTAATTAAATAACACGTATATAAACAGTCAGATTTAAAACCTCGTAAAATATATTATTATACGAGGTTCAATGTTCCTTTTTCTGCAGATGAAAATGAAAACCTCGTACTGTATTATTATACGAGTTTTTGGTTCAATAGGCCGGAGTTCAAATTGTTATACAAGGTTTATATTTTCAAAGAATGAAAACCACGTATGAGGTTTATATTTTATGTTTTCAAAGAATGAAACGTAAAAAAAATAATAAAAAAAATTTTAACAAAATACGCGTACCGGTACAAATAGTTTTTTGGGTTTTTCTCAAAAAGTAATTTTGCGTCATATATAGTTATATGAGGTTTCAAGCGGTCACACACGAAATGAGAATATTGTCAAAGTTCTATCAAGAAATAGCATTATCGAAGAATCTGGTATTGAAACCTGGTATATGCCATATTTGGTCATTTTGACTTTTTGGTACCATTCGAAAGCTCGTAAAAGTCCTTGTATTCTTAGCTTGATTGTAACAAACTCAAAAAGGGCTAATTAAATAACACATATATAAACAGTCAGATTTAAAATGTTCAATGTTCCTTTTCTTTCTGGATGAAAATGAAAAGCCAGTATACTGTATTATCATGTTCAATAGGCCGGAGATCTCGAATTGTTATACAGGTTTATTTTTTCCAAGAATGAAAACCAAATGATTTATATTTCCCAAGAATGAACACCAACTATAGCGGTAAAAAATTAATAAAATAGATGGTTTTAACAAAATACGCGTACAAATAGTCTTTTGCGTTTTTCTCGATAAGTAATTCCGTCTTACATATCGTTAGAGGAAGTTTCAAGCGGTCACCCACGATATTTGTCATTCTGACTTCCCTCTCTACACCGGTAATTTGTTTTCAGTAGTAGTTAAAATGAATTTAAAAATATGACAGCTGTAGAAAATAATCATCCAGCCTAGATAATTTGAAATGTATACCATTTTCTGCAGTTTTTGCCATGCTTGCAACTGTTGTGTAGAAATATCTCCTTCGAGATTTTTGAAAAGATTTTCACTGCTTCTTTTGTCCGCCATGTTTATTTTTCGAAGGGAGATAAATGTGTAGTTTTGAATTTATCAGAACACAATTGATATATGATAGACCCCATAGGTTTCAAAAGGCCAGTTTGGTTTGATAAAAAAAAATCAATGCTGTCAACTAAGTATCCATGTGCCCCAGTTAGATAATTGGTTTTAGAGTTATTGACTCTATATTACCAGTACTGTAGTTGAAGATCAGAAAATGATGAAGGTGATGTAATTGATGACTCTATAATATGTTGATGACATGATGTTGATGACAGAAAGACTGTGGTTTCTAATGTTATGTCCTGCCTCAGATTCTGATACGAATATTCATTTTGTATGATTATGCAGTCAGTCAGTCAGTACTATTATTCCGATGTTCCGCCGCAGCCATTTCTATTTTGAGCATGCCGATCCTGACAAACACAACATATACGTGGCCAACATAAGGTGGATCTGTCCAGGTCTTCCGAGGTGGGTTGCAGTCCCTCAGTATGTAATCTGAATGCTGCCATTTCCCAGGCTGCCATTTCCCAGGCGAAAAGCTTGGCATCGGGTGGCAGAGACTGACAGTTCTTGGATGGCCAAAACAGGGCTGCAAGCCCATCAATCATGCTGACGGATTCGACTTCCTTCCAGTCTTAGGCATAGATCCTAGCTTCCCTTAATATCTCCAGGACTTGCTTTTTTTCCTCCACATCCACTGCTACCAGGATGATAGTAGTCGATTCAGCGAGGCTGGCCTGTGAAAAGTTATTCTGAAAAGTGTTCAGATCAACTTCCGGTATAACGTCCTCGTCTACAGTACTCCCAAATTCGGGCAAAATCTGCAAAACTTCAAAGTGTGGTTCTTCCTTTCTTCTAATGGGACTATCACTTCAGGGCTCTGGCTGTTTGGATCAGGGACAGCACTTGGCCTAGCTGCTCCTTTCTCCATTTCTTCCACCAAAACGTCCATTTTAGGGCTCTGGCTGTTTGGATCAGGGGCAGTACCTGGTTAAGCTCTTTCCAAAACAACATCACTGGTGGCTGTAGAGGTGGACGACTTCCTCACGGAGGTGAATGCCACGGAATACCCTCGTTTCACTTGGAGTAGGAAACGAGGCGAAATTCCCAGGAGTTCAATCATCCTCTTCTCCAAACCAGACTCCATAATAGCCAACAGCACCATTCTTGAAGGGCAGCAAAATCCAGCTGGTGGCGGTATGGTCATCTTTCGGAATAACGTAGCCATATGCCTCTTGGATCAGATGTTAGGTCGGCAGATACGGCGAGTAAACCACAAAGTATGCTCCTGGTCAGAGAAAGTAGCCTCAAAACCGTCCTGCTTTACTGCAATACCGTATACACTGATATCCGGCACAGACAGGGTCATAGGCTTAATCTTTCTTTGTTGGTAGATCGGAATAAATCGGCTTTCTCAAACCACCGACGATGACCGGGCTCTCTCCTGGTAGGATGGGGAAATGGAAGAGAACTCCCTACCAGTCTCCCAGTCCTGAGTTGTCCACTTTGTAACTGTAACAGCTTCTTGATTTGGTAACGGTACATCTTCCATTCATTTAGTAAAACAATCGCAAATAGTCAAAACAAACTTAATTGCCCTAAGCCGACTTTGGTAGTGGTCCAAAAATGACTATGTAATTACTCATTTGTGATTTCTTTTCCATTGCTGGTTTCCTAGCTGCACACTGTTTACAGCCTCTACAATAGGTGTGTACTGTTTCTTTGATTCCAGGCCAGTAAAACCCATTTTTGACTTTCTGTGGTTTTATTTACTCCAAGATGTCCCGACGATGGCAAGTCGTGACAGTATTTAAGAACAGCATCCCTCTTTATTTTAGGTACGGTGAGTTGTAACCGGGTTCAATCATCACCTTTTCCCTCCCAGTTCCTATAAAGTAGACCGCCCACTAACTGCAATCTGTCCCATTGCGACCACAGAGTTTTTAATTGCGAACTGCCATGTGCTACTTCTTCCCAGGGTGGTCTTTTTTCTATGTCCTTAGCTTTGAGAAGTGGGTATATGTCAGGATCTCGAAGCTGTTCCTGCTGAATATCATGTAGCTCCCAAAAGAGTACAATGCCTGTCTTTAAATTCGGGGCTCTGGCTCTGATGTCTGGTAACTGCATTAGCGATGTGAGTGGGAAGATCGTCTGTGGGATCAGTACACTCATCTATATTGACAATTTGAATATCTTCTAGGCGCTTACACGACTAACATGGATTGCGACTTAAAGCGTCTGCGTTACGATGTAAATGTCCAGGTTGATGAGATACTTGTAATGAGTAGTATGAGGCTAATCCCAGGAAACTCTTCAGATGTTGGAGTGCTCCAATTCTTTACAGCACTTATTTTGTCAGGGTCAGTTTCAATTCCTTTTTCCGAAACAACATGTCCAAGAAATTTAACGCTGTGGTGGAATAGGGTACATTTAGATGGTTTCAGCTTCAAGTTGGCATCACCCAGTCGCTGGAATACATGTTCTAATCGTAGCATGGTCTCTATAAACGAACCTCCAGGTACAATGATATCGTCCATGTACAGCAAACATTCTTCCCATTGTAGGCCTCTCAAGACATCTCGCATTAATCTCTCAAATGTTGATAGCCCGAATGGCATGACAATGAATTGGTACAGACCTTGGCTAGTTGAAAATGCCGTTTTCTCTTTGTCAGAGGGTTCCATTCCAATATGCCAAAAACCTGAAAACATATCAAGGCAACAGAACCAAGACATGTCGTGTAAATGTAATGAGTCGAGACATTCATCTATTCTCGGCAACGGGTAGGCATCTTTTATAGTGACATCATTGAGTTCCCAGTATTCTACGCAAAACAGATAGCAGGAATCTTTTTTCTTGACTAGTACTATATTAGAACTCCATGAACTACTGGACGGTTCGATGACCTGTCTGTTCAACATTTTTTCTCTTCCCTTTCAGATTGTCTCTTCCAAGGGGTAACCTCCTGCATGGCTGCCTGATTGGTGCTGCATTAGCTGTATTGATCCGAAGTAGAACTTTATCTGTTCTACCCAGATCGTCCAATGACTTACAGAAAACGTCCTGGTACTTGCGTAAGAGCGTAGTCAGCTGGACTTGCTGATCAGAATTTACCTGCTGGATACGTTGACTGTAGAGATCTTTCAAGTGATCATGAACTACAAGATTTGCTTCACTGTCTCCTTTACTAATGTATCGACAGCTTACAGTTCCCTTTGTTGGTTCGACGTAAACTGCTTCACAGATGGCTAATCTGGAGTTTGGGTACAGCGTTACTGGTTCGTCATGACTTGTACAGGCTTTGGGTTAGCATCCATGGATGTTCATTATACCCTGAGTGATCGCGAGTTTGTTTAGCCCAAAGTAGTGATGCCTCTAACAGTCCAATTTTACCGCAATTCTTCGTGAAGGGATAGATATTTTTATCATCTAGATAGACTGTGGTGGAATAGTAACAGCCTCTACAGAGTGAACGGCACACACCATTTCAGCTTCGCCGCCTATCCAAAATATTACGACTTTTCTGCCAGTGGAAAACTTCCTATAATCTATTTTGCTTACATACTTCAAAAGAAAATCTTGACCCACGATAGCAGCTGGGAACATATCACATACTAGGACAGGTATTTGATACGTTGCACCTTCTAATTGTATTTGCATGACAGCAATACTGTATGTCGGCAGACTGTTACCATTAACATCCTTGAGACTGAGCAGATTGTAATTCTGGCCTGAGTTTTTTTTTCAATTTTGAAAAGTAGCGTATTGAGATAATCGTGTCGGTAGATCCACTATCAATGAGGAACGATATTTGTATGCCATTGATCCATCCAGAAGTATAAAATCCATTGTCGAATTGGCCACTTGTTTCTCCACATATTCCCGTCCTTTCATAATTACATGTGTCTTTTTCTGTAGGCCTTTCAAACTCCGGCGTCTCATGGCCTATTGAGACGACGGTCTTGTGCTTCGATTTTCATTTGTCATAGACCAATCTGGACAATTCCTTATGATATGTCCTGGTTGGTTACACCCATAGCGTCCCCCATTGTATTGTTGTTGAGTTCAATTACATCCTTCAATGTTTTGTCAATGTTTACAGTTTGATTTTCCGTTGATGTGGTCTGTCCGACTACTAAACGTACAGATCACTTCTTATCGCACCCATCTCCAGGGATATATCTTCATATCTTTCTACTACATCTACTGCCTGTGCTACAATCGCACAATTACGATCTATACATCTGCATTTCATCCCTAAGGTAATACATTTATAAAACTGATTTAATGCGAGGGCTTCTTGGGCTATAGCAACTAGCGTAGGATACGCTCTTTTAGTCATTTGTCTTAGATCATCTCCTAATGCGGTTATTGACTTCTCAGATTGTCTCTTCCGTGCTTCTAGTCTCGATAACCATCTGGTTTGCCGTCGAGTGCTTCCAAATCTTTGCCCCAGTTGTTCCACTAGAGATACGTAGTCACCCCTTTCTTCCGTAGACAAATTTATGTAAAAACTTCGTGCTGGACCTCTCAATCTTACTGCCAAAGCTAAAACCTTCTCTTTCTTCATCCAGTTACCAAGTTCTGCACATAGTTCAAAGTGACTAATATATTCCTCCCAATCCCCATTTCCGTTAAATTCTTCGGGCTTAACAGGTAGGTCCATTCTTGGATATCTTCGTTTCTCCCTTGGTTCTTGATTAGTGGGTCTCTCCCCTTTCCCGTGGCCTTCTTCGACTCCGTCTTCTATTTCCATCTCTCCTTCCTCTAACGAGACATCTCCCTGTCCGACGATTTGGTTTCTAAAAATTATTTCATTGTCCGGTGACTGTGCCATTTTTCCAATTGGTTCGTCTTGTTATGTAGGCTAACTGGTTTAATATAGAAATATTCTTCCCTGGAACATATTTACAAATTCTTTATACATTATACATTACCACAATTCACAAAATTTGACGTAGTTCGTATCCTGTATTCCACTTATAGAACTGTGAAATCCCATTTCTGACACCACTTAACAGGTTGATCCCCAGGTCCAAGGCTTTTCTGGCGGACAATCTCAGTAGGAAGAATGCAGACAACGAGAGAGAGAGAGAGACAGGTAGGCCTATTACGTTTTCCTGACAAGTGGAATTTTCCTGACAAGCAAACTTTAAAGTTACAATTAAAATGAAATCAATTTATATTATGCCATTTAGGGCTTCCTAAGACTTTTAGAATGTACAATAGTTAATTTTTATGATAATTACCTCCGTGAATTAAAGTACCGAAATAATTATTAATTATTAATAATTAATTTAGTGTTTTAGCTCTTATGTCAGCGTAAAACCAGAGTGCACGAATCCTTACACAAAATGACTTTGCCTTTAATGAAAAAATTTATTTCCAGACTTCAGGCACCGCGATGGGCAAAAGATTTGCGCCGAGTTATGTAAATATCTTTATGGCTGAGTGGGAACTGGAAATATCTTCCATTTCCCCTTTTGAACCTTTCTTCTATGGAAGGTTTCTTGACGATATTTTTATTATTTGGACCGAGTCTTTAACAAATTTTTGGCAATATTTTGAAATTTTAAATAATCACCACCCTTCTGTAAAACTAACTGCGAATATTTCTGAACAAACTCTGAAAACTCTTTTCACCCAAAACATACTTTTACGGGAATAATCAAATCACAAATTTTGCGTTTTTTTAGAATTTGCACTCAAAAAGTAGATTTTGATGCAGCTTGTAGACTAGTTTTCAGTAAATTAAGAGAGAGAGGCTATTCCAAACGATTCTTGCGCAAAATTAAAATGACACTGTTTTGGACCTTTTGAAAATTAATGAACCCCCTCCTGCAATAAATAACTTTGGCGCAATACCATGTAGAGGTTCTCGGTGTCGCACCTGTGAACATATCCATACGTCTCATTATTTTCAAAATAAAAAAAACGGAAACATATTTGAAATTAAAGAACGTATCACGTGTACGGATAAAAATATCATTTACCTAATTTCGTGTAAATAATGTGACAAACAATACGTCGGCGAAACCCAGAACGCGTTGCGAACTCGATTTAGCGGCCATCGCTTTGATATAATTCATAGCAAAAATAGACCAATTTCGCATCATTTTAATTTACCTGACCATTCCATTGAAGACCTACTTATCAGGCCTATTGAATCAATCCCTGACTCTGATATTATCAAACCAAAAACCAAACGATTACAGAGAGAAAGCTACTGGATGGACCAACTCCAAACAGTGGCTCCAAATGGACTTAACATCCAGCATGATAATCAAATGATTCCATTTGTTGCCACCTTTAATCATACAGCTGCCAAAACCTCATCCATCGTCAAACAGTATTACAGTGAATTACAGAGCAGATTTCCGAATGTATATACCAAACGACTTGTAATTGCCTATAAGCGCAATAAAAACCTTAGTAATTTTCTGGTCCGTGGTAGACTCGATCCCATTGAATCCAATAATACTTGACCCCCCTCTCTATTTTCTAGCTCATTAAGTATAATATATTCTAATCCTTATATATAGATGTTTTTTCTTTTCAGAACCTATTCATACTCTTTTCTTTTAGAACTGGTAACAAGAAAACTTTCATATTATAGACTTTTGTTTATTGTAGATTACTCGTGGTTGTTTTTTTAACTTAATACTAACTATGCTAACTTCACCTTATCTTGTATTGAACATTTATCTCTTTATTTGTGACCTTGGCCAGTGTTTTACATAGAAGTTTTTAGGAACTTCTTCACTCTTAACACAAAACATGGTGCAAATCTTAGTTACAAAGAAGCAACGTTACTTCAGACTTAAATGTTATTTACAATATACCATGTAGATGAACCTTACTAATCATTAATAAAAACAATAATTCCCATTCCCCCATTTACAAATATCAACAACAAATCCATCCGCATATACGACGACAACAAAAATGGCTGCCGCCATGCCCATGAACAGCTCTAACTTGACGTTACGTTATTATAACTAAAATGCATAACATGACTTAACACATCTATTATAAGCCGAGATCTACCCATCCGTAAAAGGATGTGGCACAGGCGAGTCAAAATCAAGGTAGGAACAACGTTTTAAACAATGCAACAATCACATGCTTTCGACCTGTCAGTAGTCTAACGATCGTGAGTAAACAATAATAACTTATAGGCCTAAAAAAATAGCTATCGGCCCATGCTACATTTGTGTATTTCATGCACAGCTAAATTCTGAAACATTCTGTTTCAAGAATAAAGTAATATGTACTATGCATGACTTCGTATTTATACGACAAGCTCTACTACAGCAGAAATGTGCAAGTTAGATAGGGGCGGGTTATCAAAAGGCCCCATTATCCTACCTAATCTAATCTCTTTTTCCAATTTTGCCTTCATTTCAGTTTTGTGTTGTTCTGCAGATAATAAATTAGGACAATCAGATTTCAATCGTGGATCTGAATAATTATTGTAGTTTGAACCCGTGTGAAAACCCATATTTTAATTCTATTCCAGCCTTTGTATTAGGATATATAGCTCTAGATATTTGAGTAAATTTTTAGTTTTGATGTGGGAAACGCCCAGGTCCAATATATCGCTGATTAGAGTATCTGTAGTTATTATTTGACCCGTTTGGTCCTGAATGTGCTTGGTTCCTGTGTTGAGGATAATTTTGTTTGTTGTTAGGGGATGAATATCCGAAATTGTTATTACAATATATTTTTGGGTGACCAGAATTACATAAATAGAATGCAAGTAGCCTTTGTGTATGTTGACAGTATATAAAACAGGATCCTTTATTATTACATTCAAAACATTTTCTAGTAATAGAAAAGCCTGAATGAGATCTGTTTCCAGTTTGAAATTTTGCGTGATTGTTAGACACATATATTAGCCACAGCTCATAATCAACATTACCTCAAGAGCTAGAGGGTCAGCAGCTTTTCTTAATCTAAATTGTTCGTCATAGGATTTCCACCCCATACCCTTGGATCTAGAAGCTCCTAAACGCACAGATCTCGTATATTTTAAAAGATCTTGTGATTTGCAATGATGTGCAGAAATGTATATACGTGTACTCCTTAAAATTATGAATGCGTCTGTCCATCTTTCAACATCTAATATTCTTTAAAAAAAATTGCTCTCCAGTTTGGCTTATGGAAAGGAGTCTTTCTGGTTCCTTTGTTGTGGTTCTAAGCATAAGAGCAAGATCCACATATCTTTTGCCTTGTTGCAAGAGATATATTGCATCCGAGAATACTATGCGTACTCTCAACGTGTGTTTGACAGTACTAATAACACTCCCACTATTTTGCTGATTGTCATCATCAGAAATTAAAGGAATATGCCCACTAACCAAGCAATCAATAGTTTCAGGACTCTCAAAATTGGAAGCATTACACACATTACCTGGAGGTCCTAAAATAGGTCTTTCAATGCTGGAGGTGGGGCTATTACTATTTCCATTATCAGATCTTGCAGTTGGCCTGCTAGCAGTACTTGGGACTTCTTTGGCACCATTATCATCTACGAAATTTCCTTGTCTTGGTCTAGCATAAGGACTTGTACTACGAGCAGACGATCTGGATCTGGTATTAGTCGTATTCTCCGTGCATAGCAAAACAGAAAAATAAATGAATATTTTATAAATAGTCCTAGATCTTTGTCAAAAATGAAAGCCACACAGTTATAGCCCATCAAAATAGACTGTTGCAGTGGAATTAATTTAAATAAAATCTTTACCAATGTAATATTTTATCACTTTTGCGAATTGAAAAATCAAGTATTTATCAAAGATTGTAACCTACTAGTCCTGTCAAGGCTTATATGCATAGGCAGATTATTAAGAATAGGCCTAAGTTTAAGCCCCTAGGCTATTGTTATTCTGTAAAACAGCATGGCTTGCTAACTAGTCCTATTAAACTGATAAAATCTATTGAATAGACAATATACATATATTGATGAGATCTCAGTCAATAAGTTCGTATTTGGTAACAATCGGATGCCGGTACTGGAGTCATTGCCATTGACTTAGTAAAAACTAGTCAAATTTGGCTTTTAGGCATGATATAGGGGGCCTAGTCTGAAATATCTGCCTCTATTCCAGCCTCGGGTGGATATTTTGAGTCAGAAGAAAAAGGCCCTGTTAAATAGAAATTTCGACACCTCAAAAGATGCGTTTTCTCTAATACGATTGTAAATTAGTGTTGGGCATCACAGTAACTTTCGTTTTGTAAGTATCACGTGACTCTGTGGCCTGTGAACATTTAGCTGCGCACGCAGTTTTAAATGGCCGATTCAAGATCAGTTTCGCCAAAAAAAAAATTGATGGAACCGGAGACATGATATATAAATGGTGTAGGGAGAAAATGATGGTCTGAATGAACTACAAAAATATCCATCTTTCCAAATATACCTGGGTTTTGCAGGTATCCGAATAGGTTTTAAGCCCCAGCACCTGTGGAGATGCGGAATGTCCCCGTTTAACAGTGCTTATTATTTCTGTCTCTACACCTGACATCTGCCCAAATAGCTACTAGAGGCTGGAATAGAGAAAGATGTTTCGGTCTAGGAACGATAGAGACTACAGTTTCTATCTGGTCTTGAAGAAACTTGGTATGCGTGTATATATATTGATGAGATCTCAGTCATTTTCGATCGAAATTTGTAATAGTTGAATGAACGGTTTCAGAGTTATTGCTCTGACTGACAGAAAGCTTGTAGGCTACAGTTATTATCTGATCTTGATGAAACTTGGTTTGCGTGAATATGTTGATGAGATCTGTCAAGTTTGAAATTGGTAAAAATCAGATGAACGGCATCAGAGTTTTGTCCTTGATTTGGTAAAAAAAAAGTCAAGTTTGGCTTGCAGGCAACAACGACAACATGTTTATATCCGATCTTTATGAAACTTGGTATGCAAGTATATATTGATGAAATCTCGGTCAAGTTCGAAATTGGTAATGATCGAATGAACAATTTCAGAGTTACTGCCCTATTGTGATCGTCGACATTGTTCATGTTTGAATTTAATGAGAATTTGATGATCTGTTTTTGACTAACTTGACTTATAAATATTTTAAAGATAATATTAAAATCCATTATTAAGCCACTAAAGATCTTGTTATCATTTCTGACAGCGAGCGTATGTTTCTTTGCCTGGAAAGCTATCTTTACACTGTTAAAGAAGACCAATCAAAATTCACATCATTCAGCCGAAATAGGACTAGGCCTACCCTAAAACAACATTATTTGATTAAACGTAATATCTCATCTCCATAATGAAACTTTAAAAACAATCTGATTGATTAATAGGCTATATTCATATAATTATAATTTATGAAGCTAAAAATCTTTCATATCTGGTAAGTAGATAAAACCCCATTTCATTTCATTTCATTTTTCATATCTGGTAAATAACCTTTAGACAAAGGCAAAATTAGGCCTATTATGTGTTTTGATTATCTGATATGACTTCGACCTTCGACACATATTTGACAATGATATCTAGTTGCAACCGGTTTAAAACAACTTAACAATTAACTGAGAGTATGCTCGTTATCTCGTAAAGTGCGCTCATACCTACAAATTTGACCGACACTGCTGTCAACTGGTCACGGATTCCGACCGCTTATACGTCAACGACAATATCCAATTGTTGCTAAAACAAATATATGAGGAAATGATATTATCCATTGACTGATCAAAATCTTCTTGATGACGCCCGTTTCCACCTATTGCCGAATTAAAGCAGCCAACACCAGCTACACCCGGATTCTACCAGTGGTAACTTCGATCTGCCTTGTTCAGAGATTTTATTCTGAACAAAGTTCAATGTTAGTTGACAGTTATCAGTTTTTTTCACTTGCGACTAAACCAGAGTCACTGAGCTTTATCACAATAGGCCTACGTCCTCGGACTTAAACCCTTGTCAAAACTTATATGGATGGCCTTGTAAGAAGTAAAATATCCTGGCGTTAAGATCGTTACGAGAATACGCGGCCTTAAACGCTTTGAATCTAAACCGTTATGATACCAGGTAAGCGCACTAATGAGTAGTTTCAGAATTCTTTTTTTTTTTTCATTCTTTAAGATGCAGTGTACCAACAAATGGGATCGTCATTCCCGCATATGTTTATTTTATATTACATGCGAAACAGATGTAAGGTTTTACATTTTAAAGATTGATAAAGACAGCTGAATTTGAATAATTATGTTCAACTGGAAAATCCAATGTTTACACGACTATGTCCCTTTAACCCCCTCTTTAAATCGGTGAACTTATTTGGAACTGTATAATTATGATAGACTAGTGCACTAGAGTAAGAATACTTGGTGCATATCAGAAGGTAGGTACATATAGGCCTACTCGTAGTCGTAGTCGTGTAAACAAGTTACAAGCTGGGCGAGCTCATTAGCATGCAGCAATTTGCATGACTTTCTAGAATCTTCCATAGTTTTATTGCTGCGCAAATGACATAGGTTCTTCGCTAATGACGAACAGTTATAGTTACATATATTGATCAGAATAGCTTTCGTTCGTTAGAGATGGTGCGTAAAGATTGTTTTCATTATTTTTTTTGTGTCAAATTAAGCAAACTGTTTGATTAATTGGTGTTTCTAATGAATTATCATATCATTAAGTGGTTATTGCATATAATTTAGAGTTTTAGCCAATCATAAATGTCCATGTATATACAGTCATGATAAACAGAAAAAGTATTAGCATTTTAATTTAAATAAGGGATTGGAAAGATGTTTTCTAAACTTTTGATGTGTATCAGAAACATTGCAGAACATCCGATGTCTGACTAAAAATTGGAATGGTGCAAATTGATGCTATCACTGTTCCCAATACACATAAACAATTAAAAAAAACCTCTTTACAATCCCTTTAATGCCTTCTAGTTTTCTGCTATTTTCATTGCATTATAGCCCTTTACATTGAAATTGTACATTAGCAATGGGTTGTACAGGTGAATATATTTAATTATAAGAGAAAATACCTGGTCAAGATAAGTAGGTAATTGAACTGTTCGGGAGGTAGGGTATATTTTACCACAGAAAACAAATATAACACAAGATCGACACCACAATTCCACATTTACTTGTAACCATTGCTTGTAGTTATTCAGTGCTGAATGGTAATAAGAATTGTCACCCGCAAGGCGATTTGTAACCGTGGGTTAGATTTCAAGTTATGAAAAATTCTGATGCTAGGTCAAGTTCATCCGAACGACTATTGGTGTCGACTTTCAATCAAACGATATTTTCATTATTTGGACAGAATCATTTTGGGAGTATTTTGAAATTTTAAATAATCACCATCCTTCTATAAAACTTACAGCAATTATCTCAAATTTCTTGGATACCACTGTATCTGTATTCAAAGGACCAAGTTTCACTCTAATGAAAGAAACTCGATATTAAAGTATATTTCAAAGAACTTTGTTTACATGTCGACGGGCGACGGATGTTTACATGGTGGCGACTGGCCGACGAGTCTTCAAGAAAAAATTGAAGAAGTGATATACACCAACTTTTATTCCAAAATTAATTTCCACACCTTTTCTGGCGTAATTAAATTGCAAATTCTTATACCTTTCGTTGCCATCTACAATTCTACAGCTAAAATATCTCTGTGATATTCAAACGCTTTTATAAAGGACTTCAGGACGAATTCCCTCATCCACAGGAGCCAGTAGGGCCTATCGCACTGTTTAAAAATAATACATTTTTTGTGACTGCTTACAAAAGGAATAAAAACCTGAGAAATGTTCTTGTCCTTGGTAGATTAGACCCCCTTTCATTAAATACCTGAAGCAATCGCTTTGTATTTTTGAATTATCTGTTTATCTTGTAAATCTCTCCTGAAGTAATTTCTTATCATATTGATGTATTCCAAAGTCTCTTGTGACCTATTGGCCAGTGCTTCGATAAGAGAGTGTCTTTTATAAAACCTTATACTACCTTCCAACTTTGTAGTTTGTGCCAAATTTGTAGCTATCTTGCTACAAGAGGGACAACCTTATAAGTTCTATATTATTTAATATTCAACCAATCAATATATCTTGTTCAATAGCCTATATGAGGGCAGCAAAGACATTCGTTGTAAAAAAAAACTTCAGTATTGCATAAATTGTAACAACCTTTTATACGAATGGGTAACAATTATATATAGGACAAGATTTAAAGAAGAATCTCGATAGATTATGTATGGCAAACGTAGCTACCTGAAGAAGAAACACGAAACAAAAATTAAATTGAGATAGATTATATGCTTCTCAGAACGGAAGATGGGGTTTTAGTTATGTAAAATATTATGCATGTAGAGAACAGTTCTGATTTTGACTCACAGTTCGCAATTCCCTTGCTTTTTATCTAACCTTTCTTTTCACTAGTTTGATTTTCTGTATGCGATTTATATTTGAAAAAATACTTATCATTGAAAGTGCGAACAAACCGAAGTTGGCTTTTATTCTGGCAAAAACCATACCCTTTATTGCTGAAATGCTTTACTAATTACAAACAGTCTACTATGAAAGTTGATAAAGTAATAAAATGACTATTCAATGTTCCTTTAAATACATATATCCAAGAAAAAATGGCTTGTATTCTATTATGATTCTTGACTGTACGAAAACACAACGTGAAGAAAAGTTTTTTTTAATAAAATGATCAAACTAAATCTGAACTTTTTCAACCTATATATTGATATAATTTTTTTATTTTCCAGATCATCATGGATATAATCTCACTTCCTGTGATTGACCTTAAGCAAGCATCGGATCCAGCATACAGAGTCAGCATAGCAAACAAATTGTTCCATGCATTAGAGACTATTGGTTTTCTGTACATTGATAATGTTCCTGGTTACGACGAAGAAGAACTGATTAAATGGTGCCAATGGTTCTTTGCGCTACCCAATGAGACCAAATATAAGCTGCATCGACGATTCTGGAATCCTGACAATAAAAACATCTACCGCGGTTCCTTCCCTGTTCAAGATGCTGGTACTTCTGTTAAAGAAGGGTTTGAAATAGGGTTAAATTCCAAGACTAAATCTGAAAAGAATGTAATGTTCTCTGAATACAATGTTTGGCCAACTGATGCCTCCGGTCACGAAGAGTTCAAGGCATATATGGTTTCATATTTCGATGCATTGTTTAATGCTGGGCTAGAAATTTGTCGTTTGGTGTGCCTAGGTTGTGGACTAGAAGAAAATTGGTTAGATTCCACGTTTATACCAGATACATTATCAACTCTTAGACTTCTTCATTATCCCCAAAATCATGATTCAAATAATCATGATGGTGACGTAAGGTTGTGTTGCTCGGAGCATTCCGATTCTGGATTCATTACTTTGCTGTCTACTTTGGGATTTCCAGGACTGCAACTGAAATTAGGATCTGGTCAATGGGTTGATGTTCCAAAAAGACCGAATTCCTTGGTGATGAACATAGGAGACATGTTGTCTATTATGACCGGAAATTGTCTGAAAGCAACTCAACATAGAGTTATCGATCCTGGAGTAGACAGATATTCCGTACCTTTCTTCTTTGAACCATCATACGAAGCTGAGATCGGTTATACTTTTCTTGGTTTCCCGAGCCAGACAATAGAAAAGAAGCAGTATGGAGACTGGTTACAAGGAAAGATTTTAGAATTCCAAGAGTACCGATATCTCGGACAAAAAAAAAACTGTACAGTTTAGGCCTACCTGGGAATGTGTTCTAGGCTAGAATGTAAATTCAGATATTTAAGTATGAATGTAGTGTTATCAATCTCCCAGTGTTTACTAAAGTCAGTGTTACCATTGTTTATCTTGAAAGAAGATTCAAACAACCTTTTAAGCAATGTTTTGATTCCAAGTTACACAACCTACCTGATTACAAAATCGCAGACCTGTTGCCTGCTGTCAGGAATATCGAAAAAAGATAGCTTGCAAGGCAAGGTAACATACCCCCACTGACAGCTGGCAGAAAAGATAAAACAGTCTTTAGTGACTAAAGTACGTATTTTCTCATATTGAAGAGATTTTATTAGTTTGAATTCAATTATATATATATATGCCAGTTATTTATGCTGAGTAATTCCACACAATTTTTTTAATTCAATATCAATAACCCAAATACAACAAATAATTAAATCACACAACTCTAATCAAGGGAAAAAAGTAATTTTGATGCGTTTTTCCTAAGTCAAGGGCAATAACTCAAATACCGTTCATCGAAAAATCATCAAGTTCAAAAATGTCCACGATCTCATCAATATAAATGATCACATCAAATTTCATTAAAATCAGTTCAAAGCTGTATTCTCCATTGTGTTCACAAACAAAATTTGACGCGTTTTTCCTAAGTCAAAGGCACTAACTCAAAAACCGTTCATTGAAAGACCGTCAAATTCAATATAAATGATCATACCAAATTTCATTAAAATCTGATGAAATCTGTAGTCTCTATTGTGTTCACAAACAAATTTTGACGCGTTTTTCATAAGTCAAGGGCAATAACTAAAAAACAGTCATCAAAAATGCGTCAAGTTAGAACTTGTGCGAGATCTTATCATAAATCCGTGCTAAAAATTGAACGCATTTTCAAGAACAAGGGCAATAACTCATACTAAATATTTTTCAATTTCTCTAATATTTGATAGGGTTTATCTTTAGGTGATTACTAACACTCACACCAAGTTCCGTCAAAATCCATCAAGAATTGTCCCTTCTAGAGTGTTAATGATAAAAATTGAATGCGTTTTCAAGAACAAGAACTCATTCTAAATATTTTTCGATTTTTCTGATTTTCGATAGGGTTTATCCTTGGGTCATCCATCGAGAATTATGCCTTCTCGAGTGTTTACAACCTAAAATTGAACGTGTTTTCAAGAACAAGGGCAATAACTCGTACTAATTATTTTTCGGTTTTTCTGATTTTAAATAGGGTTCATCCCTGGGTGATAACAAACACTCACACAAAGTTTCATCAAAATCCATCAAGAATTGCGCCTTCTAGAGTGTTTACGAGCGTTTCAAGAACAAGGGCAATAACTCGTACTAAATATATTTCGTGTTTCTGATTTTCAATAGGGTTCATACTTGGGTGATTACAAACAACCATACCAAATTTAGTCGAAACCAGACAAGAATTGTGCCTTGTAGAGTGTTTACGAGCTATTGTTACCCCGATTAATGTACTGGACATGTCCATTTTAAAAGTGTTAAGTAGCCTATGCAAATCAATCATTCAACGCTTTTCAGGAAGGGTTTGCAATTGTGATTTGACCAGTGGCGTACGCAGGATTTATTCAAAGGGGGTCGGACCGAAGGTGCGAATTCGATTGCAGAATATAGCGGCATGAGAACGTTTCAGTTGAGCTGGTGACACCGTAACTTTATAGCTCTAGAAATATTATAGAAAGAAAGGCACCTTCTTGCATGTTACTGAATTTTCCAGTCATCCAGCGGGTGCCCACGACCTAGGAGAAAATTAATTTTGAATTGCAAACTTCAATTTTCACCTAGCTGATCTATAGGGCGACCGAGACCGTTCAATCAATCAAATGTAATGTCAAAACAAGTCCTCTCAGTGGCGGTCCGCCATTTGTACTGATCACATGATATGATCGACAAAAATATGCGCACGTTAAAATTCGCTAGGTGTGCCCCTTCGTAACGGCGCTTCTGTGAGTGGAGATGGGTTCCAAAACGAACGAATGGTCTTCCTGTCTCTCAACCATAAATTGTTTGAATAGTGCGACACCTTTTGATGTTCTCGGATGCCAAATTGTGCCTATTTTACGTCCATTACAAACATTCTACTCAATCAAGCTTCACTATTTGTGGGGACACAGGATATCATGTTCCCCCCCCGTGATCTGCGCCCATTTTACGCCTAATATAATCCGGAGCACAACATATGAAATTAATAAATCTTTTATAGAATTGAGAATTAAGCTTTAAGTGGATAATCTTATCGATCAGTTCTCTCTATTTCTGGAATACTTTTACAAATTACCACCCAGGATACGATTGTCCAGACGTCTATCTAAACTATTGAAAAGTAACAAAGGGTCTTGTTGATCCGGATTAAATAAGAAAAGTTACAAGGCCCAAAGATTGGAATTGATTAAAATGTGACCGCGAGATGGCGCTATTGTTCAGAAGTCACGTTTGACAAAGGGAGTTCGTGTGCTCGGCCAAAGATCAAATATTGTCGGACATTTGTGTTAATTAATCAGCAGAATGTTGCTATCTCGCTAATATGTATTATATCTGAAGAATATTCCAGAAGGACATATTCCTTAATGGTTTCTCCTACTCTACCAATCCAGGCCCGTAACCAGCTCAATGTTCCAAGGGGGCGGCCGAATTTGTAGTGCAAATAGCGACCGGGCCTATGGTGCTAGAAATTTAAGGGAAATTGTGGGCCTATAAGTCTGCGTCTCCAATAATTCATAATTTCCGTTTATTGGCTATAGGGTTTAATAATTTAATAAATTCTATTAGTCTATATGCTAGAGGGACATGATAATATAATGACAATACCATGTTCTAATTAGTCTGTCTAATATGACAATTGTATCACTTTAGTCGAGTGACAGAAGTCATTATTTTCAGAAACTCTCACAGTCTGAACATTGAATCGAATGGCTTCTTTTTATTTCTACTGCGCACTGCGCAAAATAGTGGACAAGATTATTCTTGCCCGATGTGAATCTCAGGAACTTTATTCATTTGAAAAGATAAACCAAGTACGCTATTAACGACCCGAACCACAAAACGAAATCCTAACAATACTGGCAAAACATTGATAGGAACATAAGTGAGACAGTATTTCATAATTCAAGTAATTTATAGGTAGTATCAGGTGTAAGAAGAGTAAGCATGCCCTGCCTGGCACCACACCCTTCATAGCTACTCAAAAAAACATTTAAAAATAGGAACATGCTAACCAGAGCCATATATTGCCTCTAATGCAATAAAATAGCGACAAGTTCAAGGGGCGTTACTGATAAAAATATATCTTTAATTTCAATAGTTAGGGGAGGGAACTGATCACAATAATTGTTGTTTTATGATGATAAATAATGTTGCTTACACCCGCATCCATGAGAAGCATTTAATATATGAATGTTAACTGTACCAATTAAATGCATGTTGATTAGAGAAAAGACATTGGATGAAAAGGAAGTCTGGACAAATGAGGTCGAAAATTCGTATAAATATCACCATGCAGATGTGTTCCGATTCCAGAGAGTAGTCTATACCCTTTTCAACAAAATTCCCGATTTCACCAATTTTTTTTATCTTGTAGATCCGATTTTACCAACAAACATGAAAAACGCTATGCTGTGAGTGGTGGAGGGAATTTTATTAGGGAATCGACCTTTTATACGTTTTTCTGATATCCAATTTCCCAAGGATTTACGCATAATGTATAGCACAAGAGGTAGCCCTTATTTCACACAATCTGTATCAGGATATAAAGGTAAATGGGCAAAAATATAATATTCAGAAGCTGACTAAGGTACCTTGAAACAGTCAGCAGTTTTCAAGATTCCCCTTGATACATCCTTTCGAAAACAAAACAATTCCAGGTCACAAGTTGACCATTATTGTTCTTTCTCTCTTTATTCTTTTCCAGGGGCGTGTGGATTTTGTAAGAGAGTTTGCATTCTCTAACTAAGGTAATTGGTTATTAGTCTACAGGAGTGGACATGTACTTCAACTGGACATTTGAATGGACAAGTGGACACTCGAACATGGGAAAAGAGTGTCATTTAATATCGTAATGAGCAATTTACAAAAATAAATTAGTACTTTGTGATAAACAATTATTTAGAATGTTCTTGTCAGACAGTTGAATCTTCCAGCTTTTGACCTGTGTTTATTTTCGGTCGAAAATATTGTTACTGATTTAACGAATTCATAGTTGTATCAACAACACGCACAAAATCCAGCCTATCGTCTTTATGACAGCGTGTCCATATCTTTGATAATGTATCTGGTATAAACGTGGAATCTAACCAATTTTCCTCTAGTCCACACCAAAAGACAAATTTCTAGCCCAGCATTAAACAATGCATCGAAATATGAAACCATAGATGCCTTGAACTCTTCGTGACCGGAGGCATCAGTTGGCCAAACATTGTATTCAGAGAACATTACATTCTTTTCAGATTTAGTCTTGGAATTTAACCCTATTTCAAACCCTTCTTTAACAGAAGTACCAGCATCTTGAACAGGGAAGGAACCGCGGTATAGATGTTTTTATTGTCAGGATTCCAGAATCGTCGATGCAGCTTATATTTGGTCTCATTGGGTAGTGCAAAGAACCATTGGCACCATTTAAACAGTCCTTCTTCATCGTAACCAGGAACATTATATATATATATATCAAAGGTATGGACAAGCTGTCACAACAATGAATTCGTTGAATCAGTAATATTTAAACAGTAATATATAAACAGTAAAAATATATATATTTGGCCAACATTGATTCTGGTGATGATAAATTAATTTTCTACGGTGCTAACAAGACAATGAGAGAGTGAAAATGGCGACTATTCGGATATTAAGAATCTGTAATAATGGTCTTATAAGATCATTAGTGGTCACCAAGTGCCTCTTATGTAAAAAAAAAAGTTCCGTTCATGTGTTTCTTCATTTTGTAGAGGCTAGGAAATCGTAGAATCAAAACAATAGCCTTCAGAGAGTCAAGAGCTTATTAACGGTCTCATTTTGCTTTTGACAGGTTCTAGCTCTTGAAAGTGGTGTGGTTCTCGATTCGTTTCTATAGTTTCAGTGACTCTATAAAGTTCTTTGTTTTTTCCCATAACAATTTTAACT